TGCCTAAAGGGTATGAATGCTATTGTATAACCTTAAAATATATCACACCCGTTTTCTTGAACAGGCTCAAACAACTCTACAGAACAGCAGATTCTGCCACTCTACGAGACCAGATTATAATTACATTCATTCTAACATTTTAGCTTCCACTTTGTTCTTAATGGGGGGGGGGGGGACTAGATCGTCAAATAGGCATGTTATCTGTGTATCCAGCCTTTCACATAAAGTCCCCACTACTGCTGTCTGACATAAACTGAAATGAGTCATCAAATTCTGGTAAATTTCACAGTATAACATTTTATGAAAATCCATTCAGTTGTTGATATATGCATACACACAGATAAATGGATGAAGAAATGTTAATAAGTGCTACTCAGGATTGTCACCATAACTAATAAGAAACACAAAATCTTGCTCCGTGTACCTCGCCACAGGAAAGACAGAATGGAGATACTCCAGATACACACTTCCGGAGCCCGCCTGTCCCTGTCGAACACTGAGTGGGAGGTGCTTCTGGAGAAAACCGATGGCTACTCAGGTTGTGACCTCGCAAACCTGACAAGCAGCGCACTTTTAGAGCCCATGCGTGACATGGTCAAAGCTACTCACTGGGTCACCACTTCCTGTAAGTACTTGACACTACGATTCAACAGCGTGAAAGCAATTCCTACACTTATACAAACTCTGATCTCTAAATACTGTACGGCACATGTGTTGCAGCCGGCCAGATAATGCCATGTGCCAGTAATTATCCAGGTGCTGTTCAGAGACCACTGTGCGATCTGCCAGCTGATAAGGTAACAAGTTTTCACAATCTATTTCCCTTAAAATTAATTTTAATATTATCATTCTATTTATATACTTATTTCCTAAACCTATTTCAAGGGCACATATAAAATCCAAAAATTATTTTTGTGTGCATAATATTACGTCTAACAGAACAATCTGGCAAGAGATGATAAATTCATGGTAATGATAACTGGTGATTAAATCAAGAAGATAAAATGGATGAGGCATGTAGAATGCATGGGTAAAATAAGAAAAACACACAAAATTCTGATTAGGAAAGCTGAAGAGAAGCACTTGGAAGACCTAAGTGCAGACTGGATGAACCATTGGATTCTATGAAAGCAACTGCAGAATATGAATTTCTGTCTTATACCTAAAAATGTTTCGATAAGAATTGCAGATCTGGCTAATAACATTTTATGTTATCCCCACTTTTAGGGCAAATGAGCTATTGCATGCAGTTTAAGCAACATGGAAACATTTCATTTGAGAATAAGGAACACTTAAGCGTGGGCATGATGATATTTACATTTTGCAGGTTGTGGCTCGTGACGTTACATTAGCTGATTTCTCGACGGCCATGCAAAGCACACACAAGACCGTCAGCAGTGATGATCTTGTCAAGTTTGAGTGCTTCACTGTCAAGTATGGGCAGTTCGGCTAAATGAAATCAGACGCTACAAAAATGTGTACAGACATATCAGCTTGAATATCCAGTTTCAACAGACTTTCAGGTGAAAAATTTCTTCAGTTGAATGAAGTGCCATGTTTGGACAAAAAAATAAAAGGTATAAACTCTACAAGAAAACTTACATTCCATATTTTGAGTTACAGTGGCTTTATTATATTTCTTTCTTTCCATTGTGTTTAAGTTTTGCTTCTCTGTACCCAAAACTGTGGAAAAATGAGGGCATGTCTCGCACCAACAAGTCGCCAGATGCTCGTCATATCTGAGATTCACATGCATCTGCACACAAGGCAAGGCGCTGGGACTGTGACCTCGCCACAAACATTTTTAGCCTGCAGCTGGTGATGACAAGGTCAGAGTTTCCAGCTGCTGACAAGAGGCTGGTTCTGTGTTGGTGCCAGAACATAAAACTGGAGCGTGCTATTGTCCAACATGTTTGCGAGCGTGAGCATTACAATATAGTATAGATAAACTGTGACTTACTGCCAGTTTGTCATTTATCTTTCGACTACACTAAACAATATCAATTAAACATGGTCAGTAATCCATGGAATGTTCTTCTTTGTCACCCATCTGTTTTAATTAACACGGCTCCTCGAGTTTATCCTGAGAAACGACCACTCTTGAGCTACTACTAAAATAAAATTACAATACTACAAAAATACATCGAGACAGAAACGTTGCCAGACATAAAACAAATATATAAACCTTTTCAATGTAATCGTTTTAACATATAAACTGCCACTATTACCAAAGATCAATACTACTTAATTTTGTTGTCAGATATGATGTTCAAAAAACAAACTACGATTCAACAAATTTTTAAAAACTGAAAGGTTTGGAAGAAACAGGTTGTCACTTCAAAATATGTGAAAACTGTTTTGTAACCGCTTGATTTACAGAACAACGCCAAATGTTTTATGCGCCGATGATCGTAACAATAATAATAATGTGAATCCAACAATTTACAGCACCTGTAAATCAGATGTTATGGAATTCTTCAGTTTATATTTGCACTAAAATTCATGTCAAAAAGTTTAGTAAAAACCCAACGGACACCTGCTCCATCAATATCATCGTGGTCAATGGACACACAACAGATATAAAAATCATTGGTTTTTTAACTCACTTTTGACACAGCTGATTATCTAAGAGAATTTTAGTGCATTTACTCACCACAAAAGCTTCAAATTTTACAGTTTATATTTACCTAAAGTTTATAAAAGTGAAACATTCTTTCACATAAAGCCTATCTTATCAGATTGGAATGCTACATCATTCTTAGCAGTTAAAAGGTTCCCGCAGTAAGACCTACAAACAATATTAATGCTCAAGAGCACGTGTTTCCAAGAAAGACAAGGTGCATCATAAGGCCACAGCAATCTGCCGTCTGCCACCGAATCACACAAAGATCTCTCCGTTAGCTGCCACCACTGATCTTTGTGCAATAATAATCAGAGAGCAGCAGCACCAAAAGATGAGGAACACTTCTGTTTTAAATTCACACTGCCATACAACTAGAACCAACAGTTCCCATAAAAGTGCACCATAAATTTTGACTGACTAGTGCTGCAGATGATCATTAAAACTGTAATACATATCTCAACAGCTATAGTCAGAGCCGCCAATATGACTCGCACCTGCCCCAACTGCTATAACATCACAGCCCTCACATAGCTTGGCATTAGAAGTGTTCTATGGGACACTGTTGGAACCAACGACATTTAAAGCCCTCACTCCTACATTACAGGGGCTCAAACTTAATCACAGCTTTAATTTTTGTTCTTAATAAAACTCACACAGAGAGGCCACAGGCTGTCCACTTACACAGTCTACAAAAGCAGTGTTATTCAGCTCTCAAAACGAATCAGAGCAAATACAATGCAACAAGCTTCAAGAACACGATTCAATGTCCTGCGATTGAATATAATATGAGAAAGGATTAGATGGCAGGAAACCTTGATAAAAGAATCACAACTGTTAATTACTGAAAATATGAAAACTAACCCTTCCGTTAAGGATTTATCAGGTGTCCAAAATCAAAGCGAAAAGTTGGTGCACTATAACTCACTCAAATAGCGCAGTACTGAGCAGGTGGTTTGTAATTTTCCATTTACCGATTGCTTATATCTTTACTGTCTTCCAGCGACCACTTACATGCAGAAATTTTGGAAACTATCTTCAATACCTATGTCAGGGATTCCAAAACTATGGGTTGTAAACACCTTATGTGTACACAATACATTAACACTAGATCTTCTTTGTGTGTTAATATTATTTTAAAATACATCAACAAAAAGCAATGAGATACTAATTTTATAAACACATTAATTTTTTGACTACCTCAATTGTTTCCCTTTCTAAAAGAAAATTACTTGTGAAACAGTATGCAGAGGTCAAGGACTTGATGGCGGGTGTCTGGAAGAACCTGAGGAATTCTAACGGAAAAGTACTATTTTTAAATGAAACATATTGTGGTATGCCTGTCCAGTCATTGCTGTGGCCACTCTGGTTTACAAACACTTTACCATCCAGTACACAATTTCCATTTACTCTTTATTTTCTGTTGCTGTGCTCTTTCACCCCATAGGTTTATACAACACACACGACACACCACAATAAGGCGATTTTATTTAGCTGCTTCTTATAAAAGGCTGCTTGTCAGCAATCATCAGTCTTTGTCCTCCATAACTTCTCAGCCTGAACATGGCACAAAAGATTCAGTAGATACGTCAACTAAAATGTACTATTTTTAACACATTCATGCCAAACTGGGTTTGCCATTGGCATACCACATGGGTTCCGCCTCCTTCTTAAATGTTGCAATGAAACATTTTACTCAGTAATTTAATCACGATACCTACATCTCGTCTGTATGACAGAATTTTGTGAACACTTATATGATTCTCTGGTCTCCCTGGCACAAACGTGTCAGATTTGCCATGTAGCTGCAGTTATTAGCAGAAATATTCTTCTCCCTACCTTAAAACAGCAAACACATGAAAATACAATCTCTTAAATGAAAATGCAAAACCACACAATGTCAGTGGTGGTCATCGACAACTGAGTCCAGATTTAATAACGTGCGCTGGATATGCCAACATGCAGGCTGAGAAGTTTCCTAGTGTTACACCACATGGACAACTTTACAAAATCAATTTGTACAAAGTTTTCCTGAACTATTCATGCCCTGAGTTGAATTTCAAGCATACCATCTACATAGTCTTGCCTGCTTGTAACCCAAAGAAGGGGGGTGGGGGAGAAAAGGAAAAAAAAAACTTTGTTACCTTTTATGGGCCATGGCCTCATGTATACCATTTTTCTAACAATGTTGGAAGGATTATATTGGGCTGGAATGTGATTTCTTAAATGCCACATTGTTTAGCATACCTCTTTTAATACAGGATCTATACTGATTAAAAACAAAACATAGATCTCCAGCTTCAACACAAATTTCTTTTTCTTTTAATTTTTGGACAGTCTGACAAATATAATAGTCAAAAAAGTATCAAGCTTGACTCAGTAAAAATGTGTTTGTGATTTAAATGTTCTAGCCTGAGACCCACACAAGTTTCAGACTCAGGGCAATTAATTCCAAAGTTGTAATTGAAAAACTGAGTTGAGACAGACAAGTAGGAATCTAGCAATGCAACTTAAAATTGTCCACATGACAGCCAACACTTCCACCATGCATTAATATAAAGCTTCTTCTATCTACAGTCCTGCCAACTACAAGCAAGAGCACAAAACATGACCACTCCAAGGTCTACCATCTCATTTGAACATAACCGTATTGTCTTCTCATTCAGTTCCAACAGAGGAAATTGATAAAAACAAAGCCTGTCACTAATTTCCAGCACAGCATCAGTAACTGACTTAATAATAAGTAACATAGACATTAAATAACTCTGCTATTACACTGTAACATCCCTGCTGGCAGCAGTGCGTGTTCCCTTTTAATTATACTGTGTCAACTACAGAGGTCATGCAGCACTGAATAATAATAATAATAATAAAAAGATGATTGTGATTGGTGAGATGAATGGTCATGGAACTTTCCTGTAATTTACCAAAGCCTCAGACTGTACAGCACTCTGAGCTGAGATTCAAACTGTATACCTCCTGAATGAACTAGTTTGCCTACCAATGTTTGTTTTTTTTTTAAAAAAACTGAATTTTATAACTTACGTTTCCATTAATGACATTGTTTTAATTGTTATAGTTCCTGACTGTAATTTGTTCCACATGTCAACCTAACCTCGTCACTGACTTCAAGCACAACCCCACATATTCCACGTGTACAAACAGAATTCAATTATCTTTAAATTACCACTCTCTTTGAAACTAATGGTTACATGGTTAGTTGGGGATGTCTTCAAACTCCTTAAGCTTTGTTTGCCATTTACAGAGCAATGTAAAAAAAATATCGCATTCTGTTATAAGCTTTAATCACATAAGACACGTTTATGATAAAATACAGGATAATTATGAGTTGGGAAGAAAACAGGCATGACCCAATTTATTATTATTGTAGTTGTCTGATGGTCAATAACTTTTAATCAAGAGCCTGCTGCATTTGGGGGGAAGCAATTATTATTTTCCTGAAAGCAGTCAGAGTAGCAACTTTCCATTACACAAGCATTGCTCTTGTTCAGTTTCTTATTATAGAAGCCCTGAACTACCTTCAATTGTTTCACCTTTAAGGCACAACATTTCTCTTGAACTATTTACGATTAAAATACTGCTAAATCAACCACGATGCATACAATAGCCTCAAAATGAGTATAATTCATATAGTGGTCAGACTCCCCTGTGAAAATTAGCTGAGGTTTAGAGCAGAAATAACTTCTCAGTGCAAATGTTTATAACAGGAGACAGACATACTTATGAACACTAACTTTAGTTTAGCCATGTACGGAAATTATGAGACATGATGTGTTCTCCGATGTATCAAATTACCAAACAGTAATGAGGATGAACGGGTCTCTGTTAGGATGGTGCCATCCAATGAAAGGATGTGATGTGAGATGCAAACAGTTGATACAGCTGCATAAAAATTCAAGACTCGGTGTGCAGAATCCAGACAATCCGTAAGACGCAATGCTGCTGCAGGGGTAATTAACAATAGTTGCCTTTCCAAGGATCACTACAGCTACATATATATGCATAATAAAATGCTGTCACATTAACAAATTTAGTGTAGTGGCCATCTTACTACAACTCAAAAAAGTAAAATATGAACTCTCCTGTAACAGAACTAATGATTCAACACTGCCGATACCTGCCACCAAGCATGATCCTAAGCCAGTTAAATCCAGATGAATAGCAGTTTGGAAAATCAAGACAGGGCAATATCACAGTACATGTCTAAGGAAACACCGTAGGGATCAATAAATACGACAAAATTTAAAAAAAAATAAATGGGGCACCTGGTTGCATCTGCCTAAGTCAAATCTCCATTTGACTCCTCTTGAGTAACACTATGTGCTTGTCTTTCTAATTAGCAAGATTTTCAAGGCTTGTGTCCAAAAGAAAAAAGTACTTTCCTCAGGGTACTGAAGCTGTAGGAGATCCCCTCCAACGGCCCCGTATTACTGGCTGCACGTCAGCCACTGGACTGGTGCGCGGAGTGACGAACTTGCTAATTTTAACCTATTTTTCCGATTGGATAACTTGTTCGTCACTGGGTACCAGGCCTGGCTCAATGAAAAACCTCCGTCTCTGTTGAAAGTTCCCGGTTCTGTTGAATTTCTGTTGCTTCCTTTGCGATGTGGTCCATATAACCCGCAAGTCAAACAGCTCACGCTGTTGGAGATGTCTGATATGCTCTTTGCGTCTAACCTCAATGGATCTCCCAGTTTGACCTACATATACTTTCCCGCATTCACGTGGAATATGGTACATGCCGGGGACTTTCGGACACAAATCTTCCTTGAACGGCCTGACCATGTTTATATTTTTTCTTTCGCGGAACATGAACCGTCTTGACGTCACGTTTGGCTACAAGCCTTCTGATTTTGTTAGAAATGGATTTTGATATTAATTTTGCCCACAGGGACTACATAAAAATTATATTTTTAAAATGGCTGATTATAAGCATGCTTCATATTTTCTTTTAGACATTCCTCATGTACTTCAACTATTAACAGTGTTACTCTTACTTATTAATGTCTTTGCTTATGATAAGATGACCTTTCCAATCTCTAACCAACAAATCTGAGGTTACACTCACAAAAAAAAGAAACCAACTTCCAACAGGTTAAGCCACTTGTTAATCATCAGTAGCTGAGGAACTTGGAAAAGCAACAATTCGGCAGGTCTTGGCTACAAATATCTGTACTATATACAAAAATAATAATAATAATAATAATAATAGGGATAAAGTAACATCATTATAAAAAATACAAACAATGACACAAACTGAAGCTGTATAACCATTGCAATAAAATATCAATTGTTTTGCAAGCTTTCTGTTGCTTGGGAAATGCTATGCATTTCATAACATAATAATAATAATAGTGTACACAAAAACAAAAAAGAGTTTTCCATTTTGTGGAAAATATCACTAGTAAACTGAAATAATATTGCATTATATAGTAAAGCAAAAAATAAAGCGTTTCTTAAATATATGCATAACATAAACATGCAACACATCCTCAAGACTGACAAACCCTTTTACTGCTACGCAAAAATTTACAACTTTTAATCAGGCCTTGATTACAAGCCATGGGAAACCTGTGCCAGGCGCAATAGCAACTGTAAACTGTGGCACAAAGCAAACCCGACTATTATATTCACAGCGTCAGAAATTCAACTCTGTGAGAGAGGAGATTTACATATCTTCTCTTTGAATCCTATAAAATGCCTTGAATGGTGAAAACAAATGTTTCTCCATTTAGATTACACGCAAAAATTACTGCCAAGCAATGAAAGGGTTTCCAGCTAAATGTTCTGAATGTGTAACAATATCAATGCGAGACTCAATCATATAAACATGAGGAGCTTGACATTTTCTTTAAACTATAAATAAATAAATAATTTCAACTGCTGTCATTTCATGATGATACTGATGTACTGCCTCCTCACAGGTAGGCAGCTCTGCGACATTTCTTGTCCATACAATATATTGCGCAGTTTCTTATATTAACAGATCATGCGATTATCACAAATGCTATCATTTTTCCTGTACTGGACAGCTTTGCCTGAGCAACACTTAACATGTCATACAACTTTGTTACTAAGAAGTTTCAGACACCGCGTAGTCCGAGTCCAAGTTTAAAGATCAACTGAAGAAACACTGTGCATCATTAAGTAGCACAAATGGAAGCTTAGAAATTTCAATTAACAATTATGACTACATCATCAGGCAATTATTACACATTTGCACACCAATAATAAAATATTAGTGAACGTCAGTGAGGATAGCTGGTGTCATGGCCCGGTACATCACACATGACACCCAACTGTATTATAAAACCCAGCGATAGGTCAGTTAATAGTAATCTGTACCTCCCAAATCCAAAGCAAATGATCTCAATCACTTCTGACAAAGGCAGGAGGTGACTTCTGGTGGCAAAATACAAAACCACAGAAAAAACAAGTTGATGGGCAGCAACAACTGACATATGTTAATCTTACAAGGCTAGGTTTGACCTTGCATGCAAACAACCATGTCAAGTTCCTTTCACTTTCTCACGCTAAAGAGATGCACGTTACAGAATCATTCACTGTGTGCAACAAGACAGAAGTGCATCACTGAAAGACACATGACCCCGGACGGTCAGAAGTTGAAAGTGCGCTGTGCTTGTAAGTTAGAAGCAACGACTGTGTGCACAAACATGAGAGATATGTCCAAACTTACGGCAGTTCACCTTACCAACGCACATAATGGTGAAATAATTTATCATTCTGATACACTGTCAATTGCAAATGTTCGAAGAAAGAAGATTCTTACATACATTTATGCTTTAGTTTCACTGCTGTTTTAATAAGAATTTTTATTACAGCAGAGATAACGATTTTACGTGCAACTAATACGACCGTTTGCCGAACCACCTACAAAACATTTAAGTAACTCCTTATTTAAATTTCAAGGACATGACCAGAAAATATATAATTTATCAACCTAATTTTCTTACAATTGTTTCACGATTATAACAGGCTTCCTGGAGCCTTAAAAATTGCACTAACGATGGTTAACTGTGTCTGAAGTGGAGCAAAACCAAAGCTGACTAGTACTCTACGCAGCTGTCGAAGCTTCATCTCAGTACCAGGGCACAAATATCCTTTCAAGGGCACAATTACACATGTAATATTTACTACTCTGAAACCAAATGCTCTCAACTGAAACAAAAGCATTACTTAGAGAAGAGAAGATTTAACAGCAGACTTTTCAGACTTAAACAGACCAATGGCACCTGAATACAGCAAATTCTTGTAACAGCACAAGTACTGCTACGGTACGCCTGAAATCACATCAAAGGACTGAAAAGGGTTAATGAAACGGATTTTCAAACAGGCATTCTCCAACAAATTGCAGGTCTGAGGTATGAATTACTTGGCATCTGAGACTGAGAGAAGCACACGGCACAATTCTCGCAAAATAAATGACAAAAAGTTGCAAGGTGGGCAAACCTCACATTCAGAACAAGAAATAATTCCACTTACAGCAAAAAAAAAAAAAAGCTCATTTTGAGCTAAAAGGTGACACACGTGGCTGGTTGAACAAGTAAATTGCTGCCGTGACGGTTGGCATCTCCATCACAAACAAAAATATTTGTACGCAGGTTTAGTTGTTGCACATCAAATTTGTACAATAAATTTTTGTAAATGGTTGTACATTTTCACAGGGTTGGCAGCCCTGCATAGGCACTGGAGGTCTTGGTTCCTGGTTCAAATTCCGCACAGAGTAAAAAGCTGAACCGTGCACGACACATTTCACTTGTTCATGTAGTATCAAAGCACTGATGTGGAAACAAAGCTGTTGACAGGGACGTCACCGACGTACGATTAAAAAACCGAGACGCTCTGTCACAATCAGCATGACAACAGATACTACCAAATTTAAAATTTCTAGGTCAAAAGCAACTCACGAGTGACGTGACATCCATGTCATATAACACTGGCATGCCATTCCACTCAACAACCATAATTCTACTGTGCTGAGGTGGTCTATTCAGTGGCGAGTTCCCCCGAGTTAAAGCAGAACTGTCCAATCTTCGGGTTTTATTATCAGAGAGATAGCTATTTAGCCACCGAACAAAGGTGATTGAAGTTTATGCTATTATCATATCTCCAATTTATAACTTTTGAAGTAATAGACTGATTTTCATGATAATCTTATATATATGATTCCCTTACACTAATTTTAATATAGTAGCACGTGGTTTGTAAGTCTAGAATAAAAGTAGAACCACGTAACATTTTGCATGCTGATAACAGAAGCTGTCTCTGTGCTTAAGAAAATGAGCTGCAGATAGAATGGGAGCAGGGAGGTATCACAGAAATCATTAACCTCTGCAGTTGATGGAGGTGCACAGTCAGCTTCACTTTCCAGCCAATCATTTCTCAGGAGAGAGCTTCAGGGATATCCTAACACTCTAAAGCAAATAGAATTAAATAAAATATTTTCAATTTCCAAATTTTCAGATTTCAATTTGTTCCATGCCAGTTTTGCCAAAAATGATGCTAAATAATTGTAAAAGCATTTACGTAAGAACAGAATACGTAGTGTTACTATAATGATAGAAAATACACGAAAGAGACAAAGACGTAAGACTAGTTCATGCACTTCTTTCACCTTAAATCTAATAATAATGACAAATTTCTTATCACCAAATTTATGCCTACTGTGGAAGGGAATATCCCAATGTATGCTGCATGATACCGTTTCCACAAGCAGTGCAAGATACTTCATCCAAACACACGTGCATCAAGTGGTGCACTATTACATCTACTGTGAGATACCTGCAAAACTTCCCTGGTTAAGTTGCAGCTGCCTCAGAAACTTGATGCAGCCATCACTCCATTACGCTTCAACACAGTTCTGTTACAAGAAATGTCTATGTTGGTTGGTACTGAGCCAGACAGCGTTTGACCAACGCTACCATTCTTAATGGACTTCCCACCACCTGGTGACAAAGCAGTTTCTGGTCCATAGCAATTGCCTGTCATCATCCTGTCATCGTAAAGTGAAAATCTGGCACCGGACTTCCCTTTGCCGCGTATCCGCCTCACGGATGGGGGGACGTCGCCAGGCGTTTTAATACGAGAATTAGGATCCTTCAAAAGGCGCGTGGTCGAGTCAGAGTTCCGAGTGCCAAACACTTGCTGGAAATGATCCTCAAGGCTTTGTCGTGAGCCGGCATTTGGCTTAATGAGCGGCAGGGTTGATGGTCGGCGGTTTTTGGATGTTTTGGAGACCTCTTCCTCGTTGATACTCTTGTTGTTCTGGGTATCTTCATTGCATTGGTTTAATGGAGACATAACTGATGTCACCACCCCATTCTTCTTCCCACCTGCTGGGAGGAGGCATACCTGAGTCTCCATTATCATGGGTGATTTCTTTAGGGCTGGTGTTAACCCATTCTGGCGGACTAAAAGATTTGACTTGGACTCATCACTTTCAATCAGAGCATCACTGTCTTTATTCACATTTGACATCCTGTTAGTCTGTTCACTGCCACATCTGTCTTTGGCTGTGTACATTCCAAAGAGCAAATACTTCTTCGAGTCCAGCAGTTTGCGTAGTCCTCCCCACCCACCGCTCCTGCCCCAGTTGCCCCACCTTGATGCACTTTTGTTTCCATCACTCAAGGCAGAACCATTCCCAGGAATGTTTGGCTGCTTGGGGATGGTGGCGTACGTGGTAGTGTTACTGGAATCATACACAGCATTCTGCACGTAAGGAATGGGCGTGGCAGGACGCAGACTGTTGTTGTTCACACTCTGCGACATGCCCAGGTAGTCATGTGATACCAATGACTGAGACTCAAATGATGCCATGTACTGGCCAGCGGCATGCTTAGAGGAGCGGTCCACCAGCGTGTTGCCATTGCAAGACAGCTCCTCGTCTGACGGAGCCTGTAGCATCAGGTTCCGTTCCATGCATGGGTTTCGCCCCTGGTATGGTTGCAAGGCCCCTCGTGACAGGGACTGAATGCCTGATGACACACCGTAACTGTTTACAAGTGTTGCCGTGTGATTGGAGTTCTTGTCTGCAAATTGTAAAGCAACATACTACGTTACAGGATGACAATAAAGTGGCCTTACATCAAGGAACAGATCCAAGTCTTGGACTGTCCAAAGTCAGACTTAAATTTTAGATAACCAAATTTACCTAGAGGCATGGGTTCAATTCAAAGTATACACTTACATGATGGGTCCGGGTGTGGCTCAGATGGGGACATGGTCACCATTGTTTCTACAGTTCCCTCCGATATGGTTGACTCTCGTGTGTCCTTACCAAATGTGGCACTGCTCTGGCTTCCAGACCGAACAGAGCAGCCTACAAACACACCACCCGCAATTACACATCTCTGAATTAAGAATCTTTCCAAAAAATGACAGAACCCTTCCTTTACACTCTAATTATCTTAAACATTGCACATGGTCCAAAGTCTATTTGATACACTCGGCACCTTAAGATGTTAAATATAAATGGGGTACCTGTATCCTCCCCTGAATCCAGTAGCAGCTGCCTGTTTGAGTCGCCCAGCAATCCGCTGGACACAACTGCGGCTCCTGTATTGTTATTTACACTGCTGCGCACAGTTGCGACAAGCTGGGCTTGTTGTCCGCTGTTAGGAAAGGTGGGGTTCACTGTTGGACTAACTCCTGATACATACATTGTTCCTGCAAGAGACATACAGCAATGAGGAACTTACAGCCAGCGACTGACAAATCCGAAGTCGTCCTAGCAAAGAAACAACCAAAACACGTGCACATGCGCAAGCGTGCACACACAATCTGCAATATTTGTTTCAAAGAAAACAGCTCATCTCTATTACAAGGGTCAATTCTTTCATATTTAAGTAAATAATCACTGTTTATTCTGAGAATCCGAGGAGAACTTCTAAATACGTCTGCGGGCAAAAGGAAGGTGTATTTAATATTGAAATAAGTGGTACATATAGGAACTGCTGGGCTTTAAAATGTTATGAGTACTGTATTCTGCTCATAAGATTAGTTGGAAATGTACCACCAAAAAATAAAAAAGTTACAGTTCTCAGCACATATAAGTTTCTAAGCTGAAGTTCTAGCAGGAACTTCAAATTCAGCATAGTGATATCACAAGAAACATCGATACGAATAATGGAAAGAACGCGAAAACAGAACAGAATTTGTTTTGGTGATGAACCATAGACATTTGGAACAGAAGATAGTGCTTTACAGCACCACATATTATACGGCACCTCTCTGGCGGTCCCACAGTGTTGGTAATTCCTGGAGCCGTTCCTCGACGCAAAGTGCAGTGAGTCTGGCCTCCGCATCCTGGTCCCAGCAGTCTTCCACTGTCTCCCGCACCAGCTTGACAGCAGTCCAGTCACGCCACAACTCAGGGAACAAGGGACGTGCCTTATGGCGAGACACCAGAACCTGCATCTGTTCAAATGTGGGGTGGTGACCTGTAAAGGCACAGTTCTGTAACTACCTTCATAATCAGAGCAAAGTCTCATCTTGACCACATTAAATCAAGTTTGCTCACCAACTTCAGCTTCAAATGGCTGTCTGTATGGAGGTGTCTCCGCACCACTCTGGTACAGGTCCGAACATCGCGATGCCAACTCCCAAAGAACCAGACCCAAGGCATACACATCTATCTGTTTCAGCGATGATTCACAATCCCTGAGATTTACCGCTCCCTCCAACACTTCAGGTGCCATGTAGCGCAGCGTGCCCACCTGAAACAACCAGTACAATGGAAATTCTATCTACGATACTGAATATTCTTTGCGCAGTTCACGGTTATTCAGATAAAAAATTAATTTTGGCTTTCAAGCAAGCAAAAAGTTCATTACCAAGTTCACAGAGTCCGCTACTGGGACATACCCCTGGCATTTAACATTTTAAAAATCCATTTCTGTAAAGTAACAGTTACTCACATCATTAATGGACTTGGTTTCTGCATGTTGCTCTTCCCCATTGTGGAAATACTTAGAACCAGAGATTTTCATAGCAAAACCAAGGTCACACAGGCAGCAGGACAGGTCTGCCTTCACCAGGATGTTACGGGAATTCAGGTCCCGGTGACTGACGCACGGTTTCAACTTGTCTGGAAGCAGGATGACACGCAGTCAGTCAAACGCCACTCGGATACGAAAACACGAACATCTAATATGTGCACTGCCACTTACCTCCTTTTCTCACATCTGTGTGTAGGTGGGCAAGGCCCCTCGCTACAGTTAAGGACATCTTGCAGAATGTGGGCCAATCCAACACATTCGTTCTGAGATAGTCTTGCAGACAACCATTTGGGGCATAAGACAAAACCAGCAGATACTCCAAACAGTTTTCTAAACTCTCTCGTTCAACATAGCCTGCAAACAAAGCGGTTCCTAAGATTCCAAACAACTGAAACAAGACAACTGAGCACGTAACTTGAATCTAAAAAGTACACCATCCACTGGTGTGGCCAATTGCTAACCAAAGTAGGTAAGGAGGGCAGGATTGTCCATAAATGGAAGGCAGTAGATGTCACGTTCATTGTAGAAGTAGTTGCGATAATGGCTGGGGAAGATCTTTACTGCCACCTCCTTGTCATTGACCGTTCCCTTCCACACTGACCCATAACGACCCTGACCTGCAACAGAACTCCGTCATATTAACGATATTCTAAATTGCAGCTAAATTTGACACAACAAAAACAGCTAAACACTCAGTAACGTAATTGATAAGTATTCCTGGAGGAGAAGGGAGGAGGAGGAAAAGATAGAGAGAATGCACCTATTACCCTGCTGCTTCCTAACCAATTCACGAATCAGAAGAGGGCCGAGACACTCATTACTCACCGACAGTATTGGAAAGTTTGAGGTGCTCAAGAGCATAGCTGCCAGAATGAAGGCCATTGGCACCTCCATTCTCCATGAGATGGACGGCATCAGGTGCTGGTTTGCAGACGCCCATGGCACCACCGTGACAGAGCCGGTATACCAACACACCCATCATTACCACCACAAATGTGCCCACGCACACCAAAGGGATGATCCAAGTAAGCTTGTCTGTAGCCGGCTGCTCCAGAAACTCTGTTGCTGAAATATTAGGACCACAATGTTATGAAACTGCGTGTGTGTAAACTGATAGGGTTAAAGAGCACCCTCAAATTTGCCCTTAAAAGGGCTCGTTCCTATTCTCACTCTCTCTGTCCTCCTGTGTCTTCGTGCTTCGAGATTCCGTACTGGCACAGACCAATTCCTCCTCATTCCTAGACTCTTAATCAAATTCAAACACAATTCTTACCTGGGGACTCAATATGGGAATCATCTGCCTGGGAAGCGACGTACACGTCAGACACATTCATGTTGCACAGATCTCCGTTGCAACAGCAGAACTTGGTGTTGTTTAGTGCTTTTGGTGGTTTCTTGTTGGCAACACATGCGTTCTGATGGCAGTCTTGCTTGCCTGACACTTCCCAGCATCCTGAAAACGCAAAAAAAGCAATGACTGAACACTCAGTGATCAAATACATATCGCGGTTGCTGATGCGCAACAGTCTGACATTAAAGTACATGACAAGCATTCTGGAGATACCCTGTCCAAACAGCACGCTGCACTTATCATGGTTTTGTGTAGTGGTACCCAGTAATTGATAAGGGAGCATTCTGAAAAGACTGAAAATATGTCTATGAATGATAAAGATCAATAACACCAATACATGTAACTATATAAATAAATATACACCCTGTGCCTGTGACAGCCCACACCATCCAGTCGCATAGCGCTCACCACAATGTTGAACACAGCGACGTAATTCTGAACTTTGCTTAATGGCTGATACAAAGTTCATCATAATAGGGCAACTTTAATCAGATTGGTGTTAAGGCATTGCACTGATGTTATGATTCATAAAACTGATCTCATTACCAGTTCCAGTACCCCAAGGCTTCCTTAACCAGCAAGTAACAGATGATGGCGAGTTCACAGGTCATTAACACTTGTGATCAACTACGAAGATTGTTTAGCGTCAAACGAACTGACAATGAGAGGTTGTTTGTGTACAGCAATCAGCAAAAATGTGGCCCTATTTAAAAGAATTATTCCAATATTGATATGAAAGTCTTAAGAAAGACAAAAAACCAGTCATGGGTACAATCAAGTTAGGTTAGGTACCGAGTCAAATGCTCGCTAAGTATGACAGGCGACGGAAATGGGTAATGTCAGTTAAGAAGACATGAAGAGTAAAGCATATATTTCTAAATTTATTTAATAATGACATATCAACTGCATACATCATAACACATTTAATACTGAATAAAAGACTTAAAAACTCGTAAGGTTATCCAGCCTGTTTAAAGACACAACCAGCCTGGCATTTTCCAAAAGATCTTACTTTCTCTTAACACCAAATATGCGTAAGGATACGAGTTAAAATAAGCACGACCTATGCGATGGCGTGCTCTGTATGAGCACGACGAGTCTGCAAACTGCACTGCAACGTACCCAACATGCCAAAAAGTGTATCAGGAACAGGCTCACGTAGCCTACGATTTACCATCATGCATTGTACAAAGTGCAAGAACTGCAAGGGTGGAGTATTCATGTTAGCCATGTTAATTTGGTTAACACAAAAGTTCTGCCCTTACAGAAACGTCACGTACCAATCTATGTACTTATTTCATCTTACATACCACAAAGCAGACTTCAAATGAAATTTAATATCGAAATAAAACTTATTTCTGGACACTGCACAGCACTCGCTTCTAACCTCACCTCTGGCCCGAGTGTGGGGATAATGTTCAGCTACTTTACAGCAAGTCGTAATTGCCATACACCAATGGAAAATAAGACGTTTAAAGAAAAACAAAATTGAAGTGCTTTATTATGTAAAGAGCAGATATGTATAAATTAAAAACTGTGTGAAGATATTCTCAAATGGTCATGTTATGTGTTGTGGTGAAGCATTCATGTCAGAATGGCATGTATAGCAAGATAACGCAGTGAAGTCCCTGCTATCTGACTTACATTTCAACTACATGCATCATATCTAATCACAACAAAGCACCAGACAGTGACTCGAAGGTCATCTCTTAATCCCCATGTCGGCAAGAATTTTAATTGCTTCTCCAAAACAGCCAAGTACAACATAATTCTCAATCCCTTAATTTTAAAGAATGAATAAGATATTTCTTACTGCCATATAAGTTCACTCTTTTACTTTAATAACATGAATAAGCAAACAAACAAATCAGATGTGAACTTCAGACAACCAGGGTTCAATCCCCAGCAGCGACAAAAGATTTTTCTTCTAGGTTTTGTGTCTGGGGCCTGCCCAGTCTCCTATCCAATGGATAATGGGGGGCGTGACCTTCGCCAAGGGGTAAAGAACAGCCGTGGCATGACCCTGACCACTCACCGTCATCTAGTGCACCCCTGACGAGCTTTGGCACTCAGCCCTCTTTTCAGTGGGTACCAGCGTTCCTCCCTCAGAGGTAACGTAGCCAAGGAAAGAAGTTTACCATTCACATCTACTGCTGGAATGAATGTATGGAGCTTACACCTCCACTCCCAACTACATCTTCATGGCATGGTCTTTAGTTAATCATAGGGACGGCTTTAAAATCAGCATTTCAACATGTAGTGAAAGCTGCGGCACCCTGGATGAGCAGAGGGGAAAGAGGGAAGTGTCTAGACGTCAGATCAATAACCATGTGTATGTACTATCACTGCAAAATGCAGTGACCCTCACTTTCAACATCGACCGTCAGCTGTTGCACCGAGACACAACACTAGAAATGTTGTGAGGGCCTTGAATATTTTCTGTATACGACCTTAATTAATGAAGTAACTCTCTGATAGCAGAACCCAAAAGTTCAATAACGCAAATACCAAAGTACAACGCTGAATGTATCATCAGCCACTTCGATTCATTTTCCATTCCTCTAGGCAATAAGATTTTTTTTCATTTACAGAGCCCAAAGTGACTGCGTTCCACAAGGTTTCCCCACCAAAATTTTGTATGCATTCCTTGTCTCTCTGAATCCCCAGTACCCTCCTAAATTTAACTGTACCACATCATGACTTGTACCCTCATTACGTTTTGTGACTACGTCCATGAGCAGAGGCCTTGAGAAAGATGACAGTCACTCAGCTAGTCAAGATATTCCCCACCTTTTATTAAACCTGAAGGTTAACTATCATGTTAACAACATCCCCAAAACTAGCCTATCCTGTACCAGATGAATCCACGCAATATCTTAAACCCCTACTTTTTTTTGGTACAATCTTATCCCTGCGATGTGCCTATTAAAATCTCTACGCCCCTCCACATAAAACCAAAGAACAGCTGAAATTTCGTTTTCGGGGGTTTTACATTTCTCGATACATTTTGAAAAGAGGTCAGTGGTGAAAAACAAAGTTAAGGCCTACATGGGTTTCTGCGCGCCTGACTAAATGGCGAGTTCCAGGGTGGGGACTCCCAAGCAAGTCGCGTAACGTGGGGGGATCCTCCACGATGACGTCATTACGCAGTCAGACATACCGTCAAGGGAAAGATGACTGACTCAACAACTCTGTCGTCACTGCAGACGATACCAAAGGTCAATGGACAAATTCTGCTTTGTCCTCTCATGGCAGTCGAGGGGGAGACAGATACTAGCGAAGCATTTAATGAGAGATGCCTGGAGGATACAATCAGGACCTATTCAAAAGTGTACTGGAGGGGAATGGGGACTTCCAAGTCGGCAGAACACGGAACCGCCACGATGTTCCATGCAGTCAACAAGTGAACGTGATTTAAGCTTACGATATTGATCGTGCATGACTACATAACCTAGCCTTGTATCATGCAGACACACTACGCGCTGGGCGAACAGGGTTTGCCCCCTCCGACCCAAACAGGGATGCACAAACGTTCTCGACATTCGTCTTACATCACTGACAACACGAACTGGCAGACTTTCAGGTCAAAGATTTCGGCACCCCAAAAAATCAACATTTATCGATATCTTCCTAATACCTTAACGTACCAAATTTGGTGAAATTTCTGGTTCTAACGACGGCGAGAATAAATAAAACTCTTCTAGGATGTTGCGCCGTTTACCCAGTTAGAAGTTTACCGACGTTTCGGATGTGCTTACTGCATCCATAATCATGGCAATTATGATGGGGGAAGAAGTAAGCACTCCTGAAACGTCGACAAAGTTCTACCAGACTAAATGGCGTCACAGAAAATATCACAATCGATTTATTCACAGCCGTGAAAACCTGAAATCTCAGATTTCGAAATCGAATCCATGTTCTCCACATATTTTAAACGAAAGTGACATCCTGTAAAATGGTGAACAGATGGAATAATAAATGTACTTCCTACAAACTTATCGTCGCTTTGTAGACCATCCAGACGTATTATTTCTATTCCTCGCTTACAATAAACCATGTTCGTCTGTCTCTCTTCTCGTGTGCCTTCCCCCTGCCCTCCCTGGCTCAAGCTTCCACCAAGTACCTCACGGTGATCTCTGTTTTTTTTTAAATTTTATTTTATATAACTCGTTTCCAAACAGGGATGCAGGGAGGGCCAAGCCGTCTGGTAAGACAGTCTGAGCGGCCATTATAGACGCATCTCACTCTGCCCAGGGCAGTTTCTATACGTCGCGGTCCCTCGTATTCCAGAAGTTTCGACTTCAGCTTATCCTTATATACTCCGTGGTTTTTCTTAGTCATGTGAAGATAATTCTGTAAAAACGCCTCAAAGTATGTCATGACCACTTCTTTGTTCATTATCATTCCATTGTTTGACGTTACATGCCCTCTGCTGTTGACAAAGTGCCGACGCCCCAGTGCGTTTTGGTATTTCACGACGATTAAAATGTCGTAGATATTAATTACGTGAACGATATGATGATTAACAAACAAAGAATTGGAAACAAGCTGTTGTGGCTTAATTTAAGGAAGTACTGAAGAAAACCACGAATGGCTGCATTCGGGATAACCAGATATCCGGTATGGGATTTGAACCCGGAAGAAATTACACAACTTCATGTGGCACGATTATTCTGAACGGCAATCCGAAAATGAAATGGGAACTTTTTAAAATAACGATAAAAATATACAGGCCAGTGGGTTTTAAAAAGAACGTTTCTTTAACAATGTGTTCTTTTCACAATACGAAAAGAGTGTCCAAAGTCCAGAAATCCACCTTCAAGGCAAAACAAAACATAACATAACCTAACCTCACAATCAGAAGCTGGTGGTGGTTCCTAATTTTTTGTACTGTGTCAGCTTATCTTTTCTGTCCGGAGTTTGCTTTGTGTCTAGACGCCTATTATCACTAGACCCGTGCTAATCAGAAAACGCCCTCCAAGTGTCTCGTGCGTTCACCTCCGCCATGAGCCCACATGACGTTTTACACAAAGAAACTAACAGATAACATTTTGTCTCATCATACTGTACACATTCCCTTCATCAACAATGTACATTACGCGATTATTCTACATAACCTATAAACGTAGATTTCAAGACACACAAAATCTAATTATAAGCACGCAACTCCTATTACCACACAAAAATACACACTTAACATGCAAATTGGCATGTTTAACAAAATTTATATAAAGAGTAATTCACGAAGCAATACAGCCAGCTTACAAAAAAAATCACGAACAACCTTTCCCCCGTCTAAGATAGGTCTATTTTTAACACGGGTATTTCATAACAGATTCAGGTACATAAACGTTGTCCCTGGCGTTCAAATACGAACCCAGGCTGTGTGGGCCCCAGAGCCGGTCTGGTCGTTGTGACAGAGTAAGAAAATTAAGCCCCGCCCAGAAATTAAAGTCACTTAAGCAAATTATGTTACTGGGCTAAAAAGATTTTCAGTTTATATACTTCTGCCCTTTCGTAAGTTTATATCGATTAATCGGTACACCACTGGGGCTCTATCGATCCAATTGTCTCTCTGGGCTCACGTGCTGGATGCTGAAAAAACGTCACGTAACTCTGTATTTTACCCATGTTGTCTCTTTTTCAGTTTTGCAAGGTTAAAGAAAATAAAAATTTCCATTCAATTATAATCATTTCCCATTTTCAGACAAAGGCAAAACGAAAATCACATAAAAACAAAAAATCTTTATTTCGATATACCGATCGATTGTTTGTATTTATCTCGAAATATGCCGTATAACTCGAATACGAACATTCATGTAAGAGTAACACGTAACTCATTTTCACAGTCATATTAATGTTGATGAATTATTTGTTTGTGGTTTATTTGATGGAAGGACTGAGGAAAACCACGAAAAAACCCAGTCAGGATAGCCGGTCTACCGAGTACGAAGGTCGCTTGAAATAAGACATCGTCACATTGAACACAAGTCGCTGCTAAGAATATTATCACGACAGACAGAAAGAGAATCTTGCTTTTTGTTACAGATTTTGCTGGCCTTATTGAAAGGCGTCTGTCACATGACGGTCCTAGATTCTTTTTGTCACACATTCAGACCGTGTCCGCCGACATCAAAGTCCCTCATTCCGGTCCCGTGATTTAACAGAAGGCATTAAGAACAGAACACGTCACCGAGACGCGTAATGACGTAAACAGAATGGTCAGTGCTCAAATGGATGTAAATGCAAACACACAATTTTTTTTTTCCGTCACAGAAACGAAATCGTGAAGAGACAGACCAACAATGGGGCAACGTCTTCTACGAAAAGGAGCGGTGGTGTGATGGGGATTGCATTTCAAGACACCAATTAGGAAAGCCAGTCACTTTACTAAACTAAACATAAATGTTTATTTTTAATCTCACTGAATGCTCGCTAGAAGCGAAAAAGTGTCACAGAAAAGTCAAAGAACTTATATAAATATTTACCTGGCAATTTTGAAAAAAAAAATATATATATATATATATATACATTTTTTACGATGAGTCATTTCCAGGAAACTGTAAATTTGATTTAGATTTTGAACGCTGCCAGAAGAGGTGTGTTCTCTGTTTCCACCGTGGCACTGTCACAAGGAACGAGTTATCTCGTACGTGGCTCTCGGAAACACGTTTTCAGACACCTTATTACGACATTTTCAGTAAAATGCGTCCTGAATATAACGGTATATATGATACAGAACTGCAATTGTAATTACGCATGAAGATGGCTGGCTGGATCATATCAAGATTGTTCACTGCAGTCGAGTAAGTGCCAGTGGAATTCGGTCTCGCTCACAAAGGCGTGTTTGTTGACGGCACTGAGCTGAGAAATGGCCCAAGTCCGTCGCTGCACTTCGCATTGCATTAACACAAGCAGATGCGAAGACAGAAATTATTTCCCGGCACTCTATTAAATACACCCGGAATCAAAAACCCAACCAAATAAATTTTGATTGATAAACAACAAAATAACATTCTACGTCAAGCAAAATTTTTTACATTACAAGCGGTTTCTAAAAAAATCGACAAAATCTCGTGTAAAGTATCATTTAAATCAGAGGTGTATAGTCCAAAATCAAACTCTCCCACAAACTTTTAGTTTAGGTGCTAAGTATCAAATTTAATTGTAATCTAATTAACATTTTGAGACACAAATAACAACGGCAAACTCAACATACTGAGACAGATGAATCTGAATCAAAACTATCTCGTCAAGATTCGTTTTGAATAACAAGGGCAAACTCAATACTGGGACAGATGAATCTGATTCAAAACTATCTCGTCAAGATTCGTTTTAATATTATCCTCCCATCTAAGCCTAGGTCTTTGTAGTGGTCTATTCCCTTCAGACTTCTCAACTAAAATTCTGTATGCATTTTACAATCCCACCATGATTTGCTCATCCTAATATCTGATAAACAGTGAAAAATCACACTTCCATCTTCTTGCTATGTTAATGACGAGTTTGAATTTGACTGGTCTCTGGGTCACTCTTGCTCCCAGCTACTTCAAGCACTGACAAAACCAAGTAAGACACAAAAAGTCTCTCCTTGTAGCCACCACATGTTTATCTAGCCCCATTCTGTTTTTTGCAATTAAGAAAGGGAATCAGTAATGGATTCAATAAAAACACAGCAATGCACATTGCAACACACATTCCAAGAAGCGTGTCACAAACTTCAAGTGTGTGTCCATAAAGGAATTAGCTCTCATGCTCAGAATTTCAGCACCGACTAATTACCCAGGGACGACAGATGAGTGTGGACCAATGGTGGAACGATGATCAGAACGAGAAAACTGAGGAACACAGAAAAAAACCCGTGTCCGCAAATTGCACGCAGGATATTAAGCTCTGAGCAAATTACTTAAAAATTCTTGGGACACTTCTTGTATCATATTAATTTGAGTGTCTCTAAGATTTAATGAAAAAATTCCACCCAAAGCACAGTGCCGACTGATACGGCCACTTAACGACGGATTAAGGGTACAGGAGGACGAGTTGGGACATCCAGATCATGGGAACTAAGTTTATTCGTCAAGGCCTGTTACGACGACAACAGAAGGCTCGCTCCTTGGTCACAGATTGGACCAAAGTACCAAAACAGCATTGTCTGGGTGGCCCAAATCACAAAGAAAACTCTGAGAGTTTACAAGATAAAATGTGCTATCGCATATTTTCATGACCATTTTTTAAAGATAATATTACAGATATCAGGTGGTACTGAGATATAAAGCTCTACGAGACTGCTTTCAATTTGGAAGGTAAATAAATGATTTGAAAAATACTGTATAATGACGTTCCTGTGTCGCGGATGACACGCAGACAAAAATTTCTCGCCTCAACAAAATAAATAAAAAATAAAAAATAAAGGTAGAAAATAGTAAAATCTCTGCGGTAACACAAGAAAGTGAGAAGGTATTTTGCAGAACTTGCCAGCCTAATACGAATTATACCGCACAATATGATAATATCAATTTCCTTCACAACTTTAAACATGGGCAACAAATTTCTTACGTGCAAGACAAAGCAATACCAGCAAAATCTGCCCTGTCAAAACAGAGAAGCAATAAACACTTAAAACAGGCCAATTTACAAAAATGTATTTTTACACATTCTGTTAATGACAGAATTCACAATTTTTCCCCAAAAATATCATAAAATTTGTTAATTTAACATGAAACAAAAGAATTCTTTGATATATTTTACTTATTTTCTTTCACACTGTACCCTTTTTGGGGCCAAGCCCTTGAATTGCTCTCTCACACACACATCTGTCAAAAATCCCACAACATAAAACCTGCAACTTAAAAAGTTTTGACAGAACAAAGAACAGCGTTATACTCACCCTGCCCCAAGATGCTGGTGCCATTGGCCTCCTCCTTCCACAGAGCATAACAGAAGTTGGAAGCTTTCTTACATTTCTCCTGCTGCTCTGGAGCACTTCCCTGCACCAAACAGAGAACTAGCGTATTAATCATTCCACTAAAAACTTTATCATCGGTGGCGAGAAGGAATAAAACAACAGTAATGACACAGTTTCACTTTAATTCACATCTATTTTTCATGAGCATTCAAGTTGGATAATGTTAGACTTTGAATGCTACTCCTTTTGTTTACAAGAGGAATACTTTCCTTGAAAATTATCCAATAAGTAAAAATATTTTTTTTAAAAATAATCATTTCATTAATTTAAGGGCAATAATTAAAAATAAAAAAAAAATCAGAAATACTGATGATAAACAGTAAAGTAACATAAATATAAATATGACTGCTGATAGGGCACTGTTATAGCCAGCCGCAGTGGCCACACGGTCTGAGGCATTGACGTCGTGCGCCTGGCCGCTGGGACCTTGGGTTCGAGTCCAACTCAAGGCATGGATGTTTGTCCGCGTCTCCTCTTCCAGTCTCATGGATAAAGACTGGCCACGGAAGGCAAGGAGAAACCACCGCGGTACCTTCGCAAGAAAACCCCGAAATGGGGTCACCAACTTTCAACATTGAAAGTAGGATATTAAAAAAAAATAGGGCACTGTTATAACCTGGAAGGAATGTTCTTTGTATCACTGCTTGTCTCTAAGCAAACAGTGAACAAGTGAAAATCAACAGTCATTTATTTCCAACCTGTCGAAGAGTACAAAAACTGTTTTGCCATGTAGAGGACCTTCAAACGCTTCCCATTATCACACATCTGCTTCGTTACACGATTATGTACGATATTTACGAGTATTTACCTGCACATCAGCGGCCCCATAGTCTTCAGAGCTCTCATAGTCATCTGCGTTGTGAATCGAGAGATGCTCCACTGTCTTGTACATGTACGCACACACTCGTGTGCCGTCAGACACTTGTGATCCTGCACAGCATACACAAACCCACATATCTCTCAGTACCATGTACAAAGTAACAAAAGGACAACCCCTCAGATCACCTTGCGATATACCGGTACATCACTGTCCACTATCGACATACTTCATAAACCAAGTATAGCCGAAGGTAACAATTAATAATAGTTATACAGCTCTAGTATTTATACAAAGCGGTATACATCTTAAATGACTATTAATCTGTCTCCAGTAGAGACCACAAAACATTAATTTTGGATGTTGGTAACAGTAAACAATCTGCAAATACACAATCTTATCTTCCCACCCCTCCATTTAGAATACTAATATTTTTATCTATATCATAATTAGAATCAATAGATCTGTTCTCTGTATTGTAAAATTATTTAACTTTTTAAATATGAAGGAAGTTTTACTCTTCTGAGATAACTACAAAAATATAATAATCTATATAGTTCTTAAAATATGTTTGGAGGTCTCCACACAAAGAAGCATTTAAAGCCCATTATATGCCACTTCCAGCTTGCTCGATGAGTTTATTTCTAGTAAATTCCTCAACAAATTCCATTCGCATAACCTGCTTTTTCCAATTTTACTACATCTACAATCCATACTAATCACAAGACACAAAAGGTAAGTCTGATTGGATGGTTCACTACAGAAATTTATTTTTGTCAAAAACTAAAAAGTATGGCAATGACCTTCGTCGCATCTGAATATCCGAATACCAAAACTATTCCTCCCTTAAATGACATAAAACACATTTGTACTTGCAAAGAAACACATTACTGTTAGCATACAGATGGCAGTCTTCTGAGTACTTGCACTGTAATATCTGCTAGAAGTTTACGAACTTGTACCAGACTACACGGTGGAATAGCCCAGAAAACACGTCATCTACATACTCGCTACCTTGAAAACTTGAAATATTACCTTGAGCATGATTAACAATGGCTAGTATGAACACCAGGATTGAGGTGTCCATCATACGTGCAAGTGCTTCAGTCTTCTCGTTGCATATTACTAAGGTGCAGATAGACCTTCTAACGATATAGGTCCGAGGTCACTTGGTGATTTGCTAGAAGCCTGAAAGTGCAATGGCTAATTAAATGAGAGCTGCTCTGGCTACACGGCCATCACGAGATGTGGTTTTACAGTTCTACAAGCATTATCACTGCTAGCTGGTCAAGAATACAGCCATTAGTTTGCAAGGTTATTTACTCAGCCAAGTCTAATCGCTTATTTAATTATACTGATGATACTGTTAATTAAATGTACTTTTGAAAGGTGACACATACTTTATTTAACAAATGATTCAATGCTATAATCACTAGTACACGGTACTGGAACCTTTCCTTAAAAATATCACCGAAAACATGTCAAAATTGTTGGACATAACCTCAAAGTAATGCCACCTTTTTCTTATTAATAAAACAGGCTACAATTAACTGTTATATTCAATAATAAGCAAATTATAAAAATGTTTCAACCAGCGTTAAAAGAGTATCTCCTATCTCACTCCTACTCAGTAGAAGAATTTATATCACCCAAAATGTCTCAACTATTATAAATACATGTAAGTAATAATGGTCATGGATTCTCATTATAATTGTTTTGCTATAATACTGTAGTTCCAAAAATCTGTCAATAGCTGTTATAACTATGTATTTTTTTATTTGTATTAGAAACTAGTATTGTATTTGTGCTATGACCTGTTCTACATCCTTGGCTTAGGCCTATAAAAGATCTATGGAATGTAAATAAATTCTATTCTATTCAACATACACACATCAGTTCATTTTTGTTTCTCAGGCCACATATGCTTTCTCATTGCTCAATTTCCTATTAACATTAAGAGACTTGCAAACCATGGGACAAATAGTAGCTGTCACAAAATTACAAAAGAGAAACTGAGGCAAAAATTCACAAAAAACCTATTTATGAACATATATTGAAGAAAATTAATGAGGAGTATGTGAACCCACTTGACAAGTAGTCAAAACTAATTCTCCTCCCCTCCCACCCCTTTTGTAATATGCAATAGAAATGTTACTGTCTGTCCTGTAAACTTGTGCCACTATCACGCTAATACTTTCTCTATCACTGAAATATTGTCTACCTACTGCACTTTATAAATATATATACAACTGTTCTCAACACTCACAAACAAACTCTCACTTGATAATTTTGACTTTACAAAAATTAGTGCTACGAGTCACATAACAAATGAAAAAATGTTTTCCTCATGGGAAGTCCAAGATGCAGGCTAATGCACTGTTACAATAAATATGCACCCACCCCCAAGTTTGATTTCGTACAGGTAAAACTTAAGCAGCATCTATAACCGTAAAATTTAACATCATTCATGGAACATACATTAACCAATATGATACTACAAATCATTACTGTTGCAAAGTATAATATAATTGTCACTTCATTCTTTGAAAAAACAAGTCACAGTAATATGAAATGATGGCAGATTAGGGGCAGGGTTAGGAAACAGTAGCAGCACCTCCCCTTCCTTACACAATTTTGTTCACATTGCCTCTCATCTTACCTGGAATGCTGTATAGCATGTGATGGTTAAGATCTGCATTGTGACTAATTCATTTCCTGGTAGTTTGCTCACTGTTGCTGTGGTGGGTTCCACATTAAGTGGGGTAGCCTGTATATTGTCAGAGCAACTCTGTAAAGCAAAGCCTATGCCTCTGCTAGGAAAATCTCATATTCTGTAATGTTTCAAGCCTGCATCATTTTCTTAATCATATGAAACATAACAGTAAAGAATATATTTCTATTCTAACACAAATCAAGAGGTTATCATTAATTGTACCACAATAAACTTGCCAATAAACTGGTTCAATGAAGTTTACAACCAACACAAGATAATGATCATGACACTACTAAGAAGTCGACAAATTTCAAAATCACATACTTGTAATGTGAAGTAGTTAAACAATTATAGCTTTAAAGGCCTTTATTGAAAACAGCAAGCTTGACTGTCATGGGAAGGCATACTGTTGGTTAATTTATTGAGTGGCCCAAGACTAGGAGTCTGCTTTCTCAAGTATGTTTCTGGTTTCTTTTTATAAAATAAAACATGCTTCAAATAAATATCAGATACGTTTAAAACCTTCCGAGTCTGTGCATTCATGTCATTTTTAACTAAATTTAAGGCAAAATAAGTCGACTTACTAAATAACTTTTACTCTGGCTTCGTGGTCTTGATGCTCTGAATGTATGTGCGAGAACTACACTCACGCGATCAAAATATCATTTAAAGCGATACAACCACACAAAAACATAAACTTGAATAAATATTTCCCTCCACAACACAGGCAACAACCCAACAATCACGGATCACCTACGTTTACATTTGACAAAACTCTCACTCTACACTCCTGTCGAATTGAAACCCAACCCCCGTTAACAACATGTAATGAACGCTTCCACAGTAGAGCCGTCGAACAGGTCACGTGATGTCTGCACCAGTCGGCGCCACTGCCTCATGCGTCTGATCCACTTCATTTGTTCCAAAAGTAGGCGTCAAATAAAGAAGGCAGTGGGGCAAGTGTCATGATCAAGTTCAATAAAAAGTACCATGACAAATTCCACCAACATGTCCAAATACATCTGCCAAAAATTCCCAGTAGACTAGCAAGATTGCCCTTACCCGATGATTGCATAATTGTGACTAGCATGGCATTTCCTTGTAATATATGGTACGAATTAAGAATGTGAATTGTCTTTTGTTGAAGAATGATTCTAATGCCCTCTGGCACACAGAAACATTATTTTATAATAGTATTGTGACTGAAGAAACCCTACCACCAATTCCAAATTTATTAAATGGAGCACACAAACAGAACTAATCTGTAATAGCACACAAATTAAAATCTCCTGTAAAGAATTTTTGAAGTGAATAAAATGCACTGCAAATTAAATGATGATCATAGGATTACCTCATTCCATAATGGATATTACATATAACTAGTGAATGTAAAATTATACTGCCATGGTGGAACAAATACAAACCTCTGAACAGCCTCCCCTTCAAAGTAGCAGTAACTCAAGGCATAATGTAATTAATATGCCTGAAAACATAATGGTATGTGTTACAGGTCTGAATGAATCGTCTATAATTCAATTTTAAAAAATTAGTCCATCTGGGAACAATTAAACAATATACAATTTAGAGAGCCAATGTTTTCAATTGTACAACCAAGAAAAACAATTCTAAACATGTGAATGACTCGAATCAATCCATTTGCCTACGCAGACTGAGGAGAAAGCCCCCACCAAAGTCAGCACCGTCTCTGGGCTGAGATATGAAGCAGGGGCCTCTTGAACAATTGGTGAACCAGTGGATGCATCCCCCTTAAATCAGTCCACATGTACCATATTTTATTCCTATCCCTTCGGGATGTGATGGCATATGAAATGATGTAACTCACTGCACATATTTAAAAATGTGGGCAAGCGATTTATTAATAACATGACAGACAGCTGGCAGCAACATAACTCTCTGTATGTATATATACAGTTGTCTACAAAGTCCCTTCGGGGTTTTGAAAAATTGTGGCGCACAAACAAATTGAGCTAGCCACATGCGGTTTGCGGCAGATTACAGTGTAGACCTCGATGTGGGCTCCCTTGGTAGCACAGAGAACGTCCAGACGATATTCGAGCTCTTGCCATGTTCTGTGGAGCATGTCCGCTGGAATAGCCGAGATCACATTCCTGATACGGGTCTCCAGGTCATCAAATCCGCTAAGTGGTGTTCGGAACACATTGCTCTTGACATAACCCCACAGGAAAAAATCCAGTGGTGTTATGTCTGGTGAACGTGGAGGCCATGGCATTGGACTGTCTCTGCCAATCCATCTTCCTGGAAACATGAACACCTACCTGGACATACTGGAACTGTACGCAGTACCACAAATTGAGCACTTACAGCCACACATCATTCTACAACAAGATGGTGCTCCACCTGGCAACAGCTCGAATATCGTCTGGATGTTCTCCGTGCTACCAAGGGAGCCCACATCAAGGTCTACTGAGGTCATTAAAAAACTTCCAGAGTTTCACTGTAATCTGCCGCAAACCGCATGTGGCTAGCTCAATTTATTTGCGCGCCACAATTTTTCAAAACCCCAAAGGGACTCACTGTATATATATATATACATACACACACACATACAGTAGATTCTGGTTAATTGGGTCATCGGTTAATCAAGGCAGCCGTTTATTTGGGATAAATCTTAAAGAACAAACCTTTTTAACTGATGTGTCCCAGTTAACCAGAATCCACTGTATACGAACACACTCACGGGTGGAGCATTCATGTTACCTGTGTTAGTTCAGCTAACATGGTTAACATAAATGCTCCGTGTTCCATCTCCACTGTGGAAAATCTTAAAATTAAAAACAACTTCTTGATTCTGGAGTTTCCATACAACTAACTTATTGCTGAAATAACAATTTCTTTAAAAAAAAGGTCTCATGCTGAATTTAAACATATTAACTTCATTCTTGCACAATTTTGAGCATGAAATGTATATTACTTTTTGATACTAAAATTTACAAGGTGGACTCATATATGAATTTTTATCATGGTTCTAGAATTTAAGGACCTTATTAATAAAACAACTTAGGTGCTGTTGCTCCATGATTGCTCATGTTACTAACAAACTCCTTACAAACTAAAGTCAGTCGCATTAAGGTGGTCACAGTCATACTGGATGTGTCTTCTCTGGGGCCTCTTTGCCTGCCATGATCAACCTGATGTCTTCTGCATTTAGTGTCTCATGTTTCAGCAGCGCTTCGGCCAGCATCTTGTGCTCTCGCTGATGTGTTTTGAGGATGTTCTTTGCTCGATCATAAGATTCCTGTAAACAAATGACACTCAGCTGTAGCTCAAACATTATGTTCTCATACAGCACGTTTTCATTTCCACTTGTAAGACACAGCAAAATGTGTAGCCATATGTAGACACACAAGAGGTTCCTAGTCAATACATTTCCCCACACCAAACACCTGGCAGCTGTCAGATCCATTTAGTCTCAAAACTGAAATTCACCCTGATGATAGAGGCAGCAAAAACCTCTGAAACGTTGGTAAACTACCAGACTACATGGCACTACAACCTATGGGACAGCCATCTTTGTACTCACTGTCATGAAAACCTCAAATTCTAAAATTGGGACTGTTGTCATCTATAACGTAATGTTTAACAGTCTCCATCCTTCACAGCGACACACTTACCGTCATTATCCTTTTGATTTCTGAGTCAATCTGGTCATTTGTGCTGGGACTGAGTTCATTCACCGTAACGTAACCCGAGTTATTTCCATCATGCGTCCGCAGCCCCACTTTTTCCGACATTCCCCAGTCCTTGACCATGCGCACAGCAATCGACGTGGCTTGCTGAATGAAAGAAAGAAAAACGTATGCAGCATGTCAAATGAATCAGTGTGAGTCTTGTCCTTATATTTTCATGGCTGGAACTCAATTTCAGTTTTGAGGGATGACTGACGTCAAATGTTGGGAATTATCCAATGTTTTGGTAAACTTGCAAAAATTACTTTGCATACCAAAAAACTATTAAGTTGTGAAGTGGTAACTGGTAATACTGTTTTAAAACTGACATGTCAGATGGCCAAAGAGCAGCGTGGTCTTTATCCTGACAATATAATCTCACCACCATGTCACATTTCAACCACCTTTAGATCACTGGAAGCTCCAGATGTGATTTTGTCTGGACCAAACACCAGTTCCTCAGCTGCCCGTCCACCCATCATAGTGTCCATCATTGCCAGCAACTGAGATTTGGTCACGTGGTAGCGCTCCTTCTCAGGTAAGTAAGCTGTCTGCAACACAGAATACGGACACACTAATTCATGGCAGGATTCAGAATTAACTGGTTGAGCATCTGGCACCCACACGATGCTCTGTTAGCTGACACAATTAAGAAACTTCCAACATACTCAATAAAATCTTCTAAGGCGATCAGCCATGTCAGATGGTTAAACAACAAAACCGACATTTCAGAGACAGAGACAGTCCCTGAAACGTTTGTTTTATTGAGTTTGTCGCCGTGAAAGCTTCAAATCATATACTCAAGAGATAGTCTACTGAAGGCTCTTTTTAAAACTAATTAACCAACTACGTGGAGAACGGTCCTTCTTGAGAAGTTAACAGTTGTTCAGATAGTCAAGAAATTCCCCGCCTTATATACAACATGAAAGTTCATTACTGTACGCACAACAGCCCACCACTGGTCCCTAGTCTCAGCCAGATAAATCCAATTCACATCACCCATTGGATAGGAGGATGTGCAGGCCAAACAGCTCATATGGACAAGGTAGCGAAGAGAAAAAAATCATTGCTCCTGTCAGGAATCAAATTGAGGTTGTCACTGTACTGAATGTGCTACTCAGGCTTCCAGCTCTAGTCCAATTCTACATTCAGCAAACCTAGCATCATTTTACTTGTTGCAAGATGTCTCTGAGTTTTGATGACCATTACAAATACATAACTCGGTGGCCGGCTAGCCAAGGTATCTGAAAAAAGGGATCAACTGCCATGTAATAGTAAACAGCATCTTACTCCCCCCTTGTCTTTTCCACCTTCCCTTTCCTCTTCTTGTAACGTTAGCTCAGGCTTGCAGATATTTTGCATCTAGTACAACAACATATATACAAGGAGTATCGTGTGCCCGCATTTTTTTAAGACTGTTACTCACGTGTCCTAATGAAGGACCTCGTGGTATTATGGTAACTTTATGAAGGGGATGAGAGTCCTTTGTGTAATATGCCACAATGGCATGGCCTCCCTCATGGTATGCGGTAATAACATTTGCTTCTTCATCTGGGATTCTTGCTTTTCTTTCAGGTCCTGTGAACACAAAGAAGAGACAGTGCTGATCCGTGTTCCTTACATGGAGTTTCCTCAAAACACGCACAATTTCATACCAAGTTAGCAATTCTAGTATACATCAAACTTCTTTATCAGAAGGCTACTGAAGACAAGTCATGCTCTAACTTAGCGATGACTGAATATTACATACAATGCTGCGTACCCATCAGAACTTTGTCGCGGGCGTTCTCGAGGTATTTCATGGTAACCGAGTCAGCACCATCAATGGCTGCCCGCAGAGCCGCCTGGTTCACCATGTTCTCGAGATCGGCACCCGTGAAACCAGTCGTCCCTCGTGCCAGTATCTCGACGTCCACATTCTTACTGACAACTCGTCCCAAGTACAGGTCCAAGATTTCTTTGCGGCCTACAAAGTCAGGTGTAGGAACCTGCGAAACAGCTCTTACTAAAACTTGACATAACTTACAACTCTCAACAGATCTCTCAATTTTGAAACACAAGAAGAAAAATAGAAGGAATTTGATCCATACACAAATTCTGACACAATGTTAACTGGATAGTTAAAGTAGTGCTGAATAAAAATTATGAAAAACTGTGAAGGATGTAAAATGTAGAAACAGTAGCCTGTTTCAGGGTACTATCTCAGTACCTGCTGGAGGAAACAAGAAAAACCAAAAGAAGACCTCAGAGTAGCTTCCCTACAGGCTTAGATTCAAAACAGGGATCCCCCGAATAAAACACAAGAGTACTAACCATTACCTACAAAATTATGTTTTTTAATGTTGTATTTTTTTATTACAGACAGTTAGTTTTGTCAAAGGTCTATAAGGAGAAAATACAACTAACTACTATATCGTGATATTCAGCAACCCCGTGTCACACAAACCAGCAACCTTGGTACTGATGATGGCATACTCACAGTCACCTCCACGTCAAATCTCCCTGGCCTGAGCAGGGCTTTATCCAGATCATCTCTCCGATTTGTTGCTCCGAGAACGATCACACCCTCATTCTGATGGAAGCTGAAATAAAACAAACAGCTCTGTAAACGCTGACTACTATTGAAAAATAAATGAATAAATACTGATTTCATTTCGAATAATATGGCAGCCAACATAATTTATAATGGCTTGAGAGAAAATAACACATTTCATGGGAAATTTCGCAAGAAAACATTACAGATACTTGGATGGTGTGGCCAAATTGGAGTTCAAAAGGGACAGGAGGAGGGTAAGGTACTGTTCACGATAGTGAATTATCGGCTAAGATCCTGCAAGATATATGGAAAATTAAGACTTAGTACAAGAATGTTATGGATATGAATAAGCATTTTAAAATTGGGCAGAGAAATTGAGAAAGTACCCATAATAAGCATACTATATATGTCTGATGGCAACAGAGGGTTGATATTTTTCAAAAAAAAAAAGTTTTTAGTTATTTTATGTGTTATAATAAGATGCACTAATACTGCAGTACACTTATGAAGAAAACCACGTCAAAACAGTGTATGTAATGAGCATCAATCAATTAATTAATCCACTCAGCATATACTACATATATGACACAGAAAGAAGGAAGTTGAATTTTATAGCTCACAGAGGATCAGCGTGAAAAAATGTATTTGACTTTCCTTGCTGAAAAATTCACCAACTACTGGGTGGCACACCCCTCATCTGGATTAAGACGCCTTCTTATAATATTACCGTCCCTCACTGATTATGTGACCTCTAAATCTAAACATTTGACAAGTGACATTCTGACCCAACACTTACCCGTCCATTTCTGACAAAAGCTGGTTGATGGTTTGGTTAGCATATGGATGTAACACTGAGTTAGTTCGTTTCGCTCCGACTGAATCGATCTCATCAATGAAAATGACACATGGAGCTCTGTCCTTTGCAGCCTCTGCATAACAAAATAATATTCAGCATTTCACATTATATTTAAGTTCCAGCCACTTCTAATGTCAAGTACTCAGATCCACATACTTTACAGGCTTGTTCCGCATTATTTGCTACCACTGAAACAGACGTTAATTTATAGGATTTGAGACTTTCGTGGCGAGTGCAATCAATAAAATCTTCTCGGGCAATCAGCCGCGTTAGCTGGTTACCGTAGTAAACTGACATTTCGGGAACAAACTCTGTCCCCATCTTCAGGGTTCTGATGTGACTGGATCCTCGGAAGTCATTAATTTATTACAGGTATAAGTCCAGTGCTACCAGAGTTAATGAAGAATATAAACATATAGTTCATGGCCATAAATTTTATTGCTAGAGGGACTAAATAAAACCATGAAACCCTCAGCCAGAATAGCTGGTCTCTGCGCTAAATTTACATATGGGACCTCATGAATATGAAGCAGGAGTGCTAACCATTCAGCTGCTATGTTCAGTCATATTCTTCACAAACAGTCTTTGCTAATAACCAAAACATTCTCACTAACACTATTATCACTACTAACTAATAACGCTACATTACAATATTGGTACACCTTCACTTTAAACCTTCTGCTGTGAATTATATTTGCTCGGCGCCTTGTTGAAATGAATACAAAATTCAAATGGATCAAATTCATCCACACACCTACTTTTAGTGGAGAAACCACAGTACCAAATTTTATCAAAATATGTCAAGTGGTGTGGGATATAAAACATGTCCACTGAGAGAACAGCAGATACAATCTCCTGATTATGAATTTGTTTTATGCAGTCATACAAGAAGAACATAAACAAGTAATTCTCAATTAAGTAATCAACTCACTGAACAGGTCTCGTACTCTCCTGGCGCCCTGCCCCACCAGAATCTCATCAAATTCTGGCCCGGCTGCATGGAAGAAGGGAACACCAGCTTCTCCAGCAACTGCCCGGGCAAGGAGCGTCTTTCCCGTTCCCGGAGGTCCGACCAGTAACACGCCCTTGGGTAGTTTGCCGCCCAGCGTAGAGAATTTCTCTGGATTCTTGAGGAACTCAACAACATCCTTCAACTCCTGTTTTGCCTCATCTACCTGTACAATGGTAAGAAAGTCAGACATACGAAGCTCAGTAATAATATTATCCTCTACAAGAAAATGGAAAAGTAATAAAACAATTACAGAAACTGACAAACAATCGTGATTATAGAGAGACCCTTCCTTCAAAGCAGTATACTTCGAAAAAGAACTTTTGAAGGTCTCCAAATAAAGACACAATTGTATTCTTTTAACTATTCAATGCTAAAAAAAATTGCAAATTCTGAAGCTCTGATGATGGAGGCAGGAAGTACCCCTGAAATGCTGGTCAACATCTACCAGAGCGTAGCACATACTCCACTGAACTCAAAACACTACATGAATGATAAGTTTGACTTACGCCCTTTACGTCATCAAATGTGACATGAATTTCTTCTGGGTCTACCTCGACCTGGCTGCCGAGCTGGATGCGGAACATAGAGCCACTTGCACTAGCTGCAAAGATAACATCAGTCAGCTACTGGTAGGGCCTCCCTAGCCAGATTGGTCGAGGGGGAGAGGTCAGATTAAGACAGGTACCCTGGTCCTCCAGGTTGGGGGTTGGTCGCAAGGCTAACAACCTTGCACCGTAAAAAGGAAGATGTTTCGAAACCTCGATCAAAGCCTCGGACAGACGTACCTAAGAGAGGACCGAATGGAAGAGGAGAATTGAGGAGGCCACGGACTGAATACGGACCAGAGAGCCATAGAAGAAGTGTAACAGTGAACATAATTTTGCAGTGCATAGTAAAATCATTAAAAGATCATATGTCAGTACAATCTTAAAACTACGCATGCCCTAGCAATACTGATGCTTCCCTTCTACAGAGACGATGGGGACTGCCTAACGTGCGAGAACAAATTCAGTGCTCTGACCTTTTCTGAGAATTTTTGATGCACTGGCTGCATGTGGTAGTAGCCTTCTTGGTAAATACAGTATAAATATGCAACAGAATTAGAAAAAAAAATAATTAAAAAGTATTTTCAAAATTAGAAACAAAGTAATGTCTAAAATGGATTCATGAATGCAGGAAAAGATACTTTATCTTTTTGAGACAAACGTTAAAGGTTAAAAAGCAAACTCAAGAGGAAGAAAGCTGAAATATTCTATTACATAGACACCACCTGCATAAAATCACATTCACTCCTTGACTTACATAATTACCTTCACAACCCAACACAGCAAATTTTTTTAACATTTGCGCAACGCCAATCCAAAATTGGAAGGTATATGAAACAACATTAAAAGGTTGGGTATCTTGACGGTTTGGTGGATTGGTCATTATCCGAACGAACTTTATTAAATCACGTTGCCATGAAAGCTCCAGATCATAAACCTTTATTCTTATTACGTCTCGACGGTACTGGCTTACCCATAAATGATATGAATATCGCCAAGAAGATCACAATGGTCAGTAGCTGCTGAATGATCTTCAGCCACTTCATCGTCCGTCCCGGTGTCTTCTGACCAGATCCCGCCAGATAGCCCTCTGCAAACGCCACTTTCACTCGCTGCTGTTCTTCTTTGCTCAATGTTTCATCTGTCATCAGAACTGGGGGGGAAACATAAACAGTGTAGGGTCAAATCTGCCGTAATTCAGAATGTCGAAATGAAGGGTTGCAAGCACACATAAAATTCTCAACCAAATTTCCCATTTTCAAACACTAGAGCAGAGCGCTCCTTTCGGAGATCCTCAGGGGGAGTTGGTCAAGTTTTTAAAACGCAACCAACCTTGTGTAAGAAACTAAACTACCCCCCCCGCCGAATGGAGGGTTAAAACACTTGACCAACTTCGGGGGGGGTTAGTTTAGTGTCTCATTCAAGTGTTTTAACCCTTCTTAAATAGTTTTATGTCGCTGATCGGAGGCGATATGCTTCTGCTGGAGCAGTGATCATGCGACTGGCTTGGTAGTTGTTGATCTCGTTGTTGTGAAGCGTTAATTTGTTTACTCGGAGTATAAACAAATATAAGGTGACATTGTTGAGGACGTCATTTTTTGACGACAACGGGGAATCAGAAATTTTTATAGTAGATTCTTAGCACGGCACGCATAAAACAAACAGACAATGGAAATTCACATCTGTCCATCTGCATGTTTTATGCCTGAACAACTGAACTACAACTTAGATGTATTTTTAATGAAGACAAATTCCTGTCCAGCACTTCTTTAATTACAAGCTACAACTTAATCCTTACCTTTTATCCTCTCTGCTTCCACATCAGGCTGATGGATAGTACCAAGTTTTTCCATATTGCCACTACTTATCCCTTGCTGTCCTCCTGGAATGTTGCCTACAAATGAAAGGCCAAGTGCCTCACGTAGACGAGTACCTACTGTCGGGTTTCGTAACTGTTCTCCTGCGATGCTGCGGTCCGTCTTAAAACCACGTGCATGGATATCTGTAACACACAAATTCTATACTTACATTTCCATTAATGTTATGAATTAGACATAAAAATACATCAGCACTCATATTCAGAAGTATTAAGGATGCTTGTGAACCATTCCTCTACAAGAAGTTACAATGATCATGAAACGTCCCCACCATCACTTAGAGTATCGTTATCAAATATGAGTGTTTGGCAACTGAGCTGTGGCATTATAACCACTACACCTTCAGTGGAGGTTTTACCGTGACCTAATTCCAGAAAAGTAAGCAATGACAGTACAATTATGCTTAGAACTACTGTCTAAAACAATAGTTTTCCATTGCACGCCCAACATGAGTAATGCAAACTAGTAACAATCGAGCAAACCTAGCCAAGCACTATAGAGTGCAGAAGCCAGTTACTCTGAGTTTAAAACTTCAATACGAGGACAGTCATTAATAACAAGAGCTGACATGCCAACTACTCATACCTTGTATGAGATATATGACACAATAAATATTAAAAAAATGTGGGGATGTGGAAGGGATTGACACCTGTGTACAAAATCACTCACTACAAATATAAAAGCTTACCAAACAAAAATGGTCGTCTGACATGCATACTGTGCAACAGTCTTCTGGCAAATGTATCTGAAAAACTGACGACTGTTGGAGACCTGGAACATGTAGGCTGCTCTTGAGGAAAGCCATTCTTATTTTCAAAAAATGATTCAGATGAAGTGTAAGTCACTTGCCATGGTAAGGTTAATTTAGTTTTCAATAGTGGTCTATTTGTCAGCTGGTTCCAGAAGAGCCACGATGCCAACCTATCTGCAAATCCAGCTTTAATTTTTGGTAAATGTTTCAAAATAAGTTCACTGCAATTGTCTAGGGCCTGAAAACAGAACAAATGCAACTATCAGCATCACAGACCACTTGGCATCCACCGTATGATGAAATTACAAGAAAACCCTGTGGCTATACTCACTGTATTTAGACTATGTGAACACAAAATATCAAAATCTCCCTCATTCTGTTGGCCAGTTCCGTTCTGTGAGCGAGTTGATTTTGTCCCTGAAACTAGGGGTGAACAAGGTCGTCTTGGGTTAAGGGCAGCTGACATTAACTGTGTAAGGTGAAACAACACCTGAAATACATCAACATATCAATAATATTCACATCCCAGCGAGTACTATATGGATTAATTTATTCAATGAAGAATGATGTAAACTATGATTTCCTCATTAAAACGTATAAAGCTGAAAGAACGAAAACTTCACACACAGATTTAGTATCTATGCTTACCTGATTATTATTCTGCAAGGAAAACATTGATAAATAATATTTAGCAAAATATGGTATATTTATATACTATTTCAAGTTGTATTAAGTCACAACGCTCATACGTTCAATGTTGTCGTCACTTATTGTTGATCCGCATTTATCACTTCCATTGTCTCACCTTAACCTTTCACAAATCTGACTGGCAAACCTGCGGAGTTTGGTGGCCTCATACAGAGATACCAACGTACTTCTGCGTTTTTACAGCCTTGCAGCACGTAATCAAGAAACGTAGCTTTTCTGATAGAGTGGCTTACAGAGAATAAAAGCCAATGTGACCAACTTCGTTACTGAACAGTATGTCAATATCAAAACATTATCAACTACTTCGGAAACGAAGAGGAAGTGTTGTGAATTTATTGTTATGACTGCAGTATAAAATGAAACAGTGACAGTATCGTTGTATCTTCCAAGTAATACACGCAATAATATTAAACACACGAGGTTTTAAAAAGGAATATGGATCTGATCTATGCTGTATTTCGTAAACACACAACGAGTTCTACAAAGTCTCTCCAGAATTTTGAATGGTACGCTGTTTTGGTATTTTATTGTAATAAATGTTCATATTCTTTCGTCCTTGGCTTATTATTTGAGGGATGTATGGAATGTGAATAAATTCTAATATAACCTGGCATATGGTTTACTTAATCCTTTGAGCCCCAGTGCAACTATATATACCACTTGCTTTAATGTTAAATAATTCCACATTTGGCGCACATAGTTTATTTTATTGGTTTGTACATTATTCTCAGGGTAAAACAGTGACTATTTCCTGAAACAGCATTACCCAATTGATCTCTATAATGGAGAAGCAATGTTTTATTTGCTGTAACAAATGTAGATACTCTGGCAAGCTAGAGTGAATACAGGTATCAGTTACAGTGGAGATTCCTCAAATAATATTATTGTGAAGGCAGCCAACATCTGGAAGATGTCCAAACAATAATGGAAACTAACCAGCAAAGCTAACCAAACACTGATGGCACGCACCTTAATTGATATGTTAAACTCAATTAGTCAAAGCCAGAAATTTGACACCATAGACAGGGACCACTTCATTGGTTTGTGTATATCACAAATTTTGAATAAAAGCTGCCCCCTTTTTAAACTCAGCATTCGTTCCTGTAAGTTCAGCATAGCTTAAACAGGCTTCCTTCTGTATAATAAGGAAATACATATTATTTTATTTTCAGTTTGCATGAAGGCCACACACTGTGTTCTGTTTCAAGCCAGAATATTGTTGCCTTCACAACAACAACAGAGATAGAAGACATCAGTGGGAAAACGTGGGGTTCTCATGTTTATGTCGCAGATCTCAACACGCCTTGGTACAGTCACAAGTATGTAGGAACATTGGACATGGCATATTTCAACTTCATAAATCTACCATGAATTAATGCTGTTATAACTTTCAGATTAAGTATCATAAATTAGAGATGGTCAATGATAGGGATTTATTACAGTCCCATCTTCAGTTTAATGTACAGGTGGTTGCCACATTTTTGTATCTGAATATGGAACAGAACATATCATGGAAAAGCTAATTTCTAGAAATATAAATAAATGACATCAAACCTCTAATACAGAAGTCCATAATCACACGTAATCCTGAGCTGCTTGAATCCTCGCGACTCATTTCTCAAACATGCTCATTTACGATATTTTCCAATTGTCTCATTTTTCCAAAAAGCTGCCTCCCCACCCTCTTCAACTACTTGGTGAGCTCTTCATTCCTTTTCTTAACCACACCCACTATAATTGTCTCATTTTTCCAAGAAGCTGCCTCCCCACCCTCTTCAACCACTTGGTGAGCTCCTCATTCCTTTTCTTAACCACACCCACTAAGAATAGGTTATCACATATGGTCAGATGTTATCGCACGGCCATCTTCTCGTGTCATATTCAGCAGTTTACAGCAATGAGTGAAGTTGGTCATGAAATGACTGTATAAGATGTGACATTATCATGATGTAATAACATGTTATTGTTTCCTAAGTAAATACATTAAGGCCAGTCAACACAGGCCACAGTTAAGGCTGTCCTGTTGTTTGAGAACTCTTTATTATATCTACAGAAGACACTGAAGTTAGGGAACAACTGCAAATTTATAAAATGCATAAATGAAACTGAGACGTGAGCTATTCACATTCTCGATTGCTGGAGAGCTACCGACTTCATCTTAATGTTGAATGGTTTCTCAACTAACATAATGTTGTAGGGTTGTTTCCAATAAAACTGGGGTCACAGCATTAGAATGGGACCTGCCAGGTGACAAGCTGCTGGTGGCTGATACAGCAGGAAATGTGCAGTTGTGGAGTTTCAAGGACCATATTCTAAATGACTGGGTGTGCCTCGGAACAGCCTCCTTTCCTGGTGAACATATCCTTGGTGCCGCATTTTTCCACAATGGAAAAAAGGTGCGTGGCTCTGCCGTCAGCATTTTGAGGCTGTTATGAGTATCTCCACATGAAGCCCCTTCTATTTTGTTTTACACTTTTCCCAGTTTTTGTTATAAACTTCCTATAGAAATGGATGTTTGAACTGGTCACCAAAAACCTAACGGTGAATTGTTTACGCTTATCAAAAAAATGCAGTGGAATGTAGCAGTCTAGAAGGTACCCAGTTAAAATCTAAGATTAATAGATATCCTGGCTGAGATTTAAATGGTTTATTTCAGTACCTCCAAACAAATACTTTGATATTGGCCATGATCATTTCCTTCGGAAATAAATATTTTTCTCGTAAGTCATGATCATTATCCTGTCTCATTTAATGTTCTATAAATTTCATAGCCGAAACATTGTCACTGCGTAACTAAGAAGTTGTTAATTTTGTGTTTGTCACGTGATAAGGAATTTAATTTCTTTCTCTGTGGTATATTTTGTCCTTGTTACTTTCCTCACATTACAGATAAGTCTAGTATCTGAGAAGAAGGATAATGTGTACTATAATGAGAAGTTCACCCACCTACGCTTCCCACCTTCCGTACGCTACTTTGGTGGACGACCAATGGAAGGCTGCCTTGTGATCAGCACCACAGGAATGGTGGGCGTGGTGATAGCATCACGAGAAGGCCATCAGGGATCACCTCAGCTTATTATAACAAGTGACAGTCTTGGATCCACAAGGCACCGGATCACTGCCGTCGACATTTGTTACGGAAAAAGTTAGCACCCGTCACTGACAATAATACACAGTTTTAAAATGATCAATTTTTTAGAAATTATATAAAGTTCTGTATGAGTTTCATATAAAGTATGGGTTATATTTGATAAATCAGAATTAAAGAACTATATTTTTTTTATAATTTCAGTGTAAATGCTTAATATTAAATTTCTTCAAAGTCTGTACATTTATTTCAGACCTGAAATATGCACATGGGCAGATATAACCTCGATATGTTAATTTTATGCACAATTTGCAGAGAAGAGATAAAACTAAAAGTGAGTGAAATGTAGTACTGGCAATCCCCCACATCGCGAATGACGGCCGTACCATCACGACTTTATGTTCTGAAAATAACAATTTCTTTCTATCACAAAACTTACGATGGTACTACCACCTAAATCTCATTTTTTAACTTCATGATGATGAAGACTGAAATTAAAGTAGGGGACATTTTACAAGATGCGTCTTAACTCTTGCACCCTAGAAAATTGTGAATTACGAGTACACTTCGTGTTTTGCAGATGGACACTTCTTGGTGGCAGTAAGCAGTGGTAGTGTGAGTCTGCCGATCCAGTGTTTCCGAGTGTCGGTGAAGCAGGGTGACGAGAAGTGTGTCATCATGTCTCAAGCTTTGCCAAGTTTCTTCCTTCAGTCCAGTCCCATCAAGGAAAACCAGTGTACGTACATGTTCACATTTTAATATAATTTTTGGAAATAACACCTGACAGAGAGAGAAAGATAGACGCGTGTTCGCAGTGTGGCTCCTTTCATCCATTTAAAAAAATTCATCTGCCTATGTTTAATGCAGTTTTCAGTTTGTGGTTCTTGAGCCAATATGAACATTCTAAATAGTCTTCAATTTTTGAAGCATAGTCTTACTCAGTTACACCTCACAGTTTCGTACTTTACGCGCAGTGACGACTGTATTTCATGTGCTCACCGCTGTTTTGTTTTCCCCGTTCACAGATCGCCACGTGTCGCAGCTCAAGTTCGTAGTCCGAGAAGATGCAGATTCATTGGTTGTGGCCGCCAACGGCGACAGCGGCTGCCTCATTGAAATCTGGGAGCTGCGAGAGAAACCTCTGCCTATACATAAACTGTTTCAACCCAAATCTCATTCTTCGCAAACAGAACCATTCAAAACTGTAGTAAGTTACGGCCATGTATCGTGTGGTATTGCCATGTTATCAGCCACGCCCTACAAATTATGCGTTGTCCAGCTAGCTGGCTGGCATCTACTTAGTACCGGAGTACAATGTGCCGTTCCTGTATAATAGAATTTAATTTCTCCAGGTGGTAGTAGTACGTTGAAATGGCCGCAACATCCCAATCCAAATCCTTACCTACTCATCGTTCATTTTTTTACGCACGTTATATGACACCGTAACCTCTATAGTTGGCACAGTGGAATAAACTCAGTCCAATCAAGCGTGGATAATTCCGTGTCATCCCATATCATCATTTGTGCAAGCTTTTCATCTACTTATTTTTGCAGCTGTGGCAGCATCAGTCTCACTTCATGTCCTCGTCTCCAGTCGTATGTATCACGACGTCCAAATTGTCAATTACCACGACGATGCCTCCTCCATGTTATGTGATGGTAGCGCTGGCAGATGGCTCAATTCACTGTTTATACAGGGATTCACTGAAACAGGTCAGCAAGATTAAACAAATTTGTTGAGAATAAATAATCAGTATTTGGCTTCCTAGTCTCACCTTTGTCTCTTTATCTCTTTTCACACTTGTTTGATACATGAAGGTTGCCACAGCATCGCTGAATCAAGCGTGGCGACAGGAAGAAGCTCCTAGCTCGAAGCAGCAAAGGCTTGGCTTGCGGATATCGCACCTCGACATGAGCTGGTTGGGCTGTGTGCTCGTGGCTACAGACACGCAAGGGCAGCTTTACCTATATCGTCTGCTACCAATCTCAGAGCCAGGTATACAGCATGTCTCTCTCTCTTTAGTAACTTCTTCTTATTCTTCTATGGCCTCCTCAATTCTCCTCTTCCGTTCGGTCCTCTGTTAGGTCCGTCTGTCCGAGGCTTTGATCGAGGTTTCGAAACATCTTCCTTTGTACGGTGCAAGGTTGTTAGCCTTGCGACCAAACCCCAACCTGGAGGACCCTGCAGTAACTTAAATTGGAATTTATCATGTCATCTTAATTGGTTCCATACCAACCAAAAATCTTTAAGCACAGACGAATTCTTAAGAAGCAGTTCCGACTCTGTGATAGAATATTACCATACATACCTAAATTTAAGCTAAATTTTCAACAACTTTCAGATTCATGCCAGGGCCTGTAACAGCCGCAATGCCAAACATTCGGAAATACCGTAGTTCTGTACGCTTTTGCAACCGACGTGTCCGTGTATCTGCACGTCTGTTTCTTAACTAAAGTCTACTGACATTTCCAGGAGGCCCCATGACAGTGCCATATGCTTGCACACTCCTGGAATACTGCCTAGTGACAGGATTAGACTGGTGGGACCTGCTCGTGTCGTTACGTCCTTCCATGATGGACACGGTGTGTGAACGTTTCACAGAGAGTTTCAACCGGCAGTTGCAGCAAGTACAGCAGTTTCACTACGTCCAATTCCTCAACATCAAGACTTCACTCTACAGGTGGTCAAAAGTCTCAAAGATTCAGTCATCATGAGGACTGTGTTTCCTGTCTATTTCTTGTTCATGACTATAGATATTTTTCTTATATCCTAATGGGCTTTTATTCCAGGTTGACTGTGAATGGACAGTCTAAGGCAGCAGATCTGACCTCGCTCCTCATGTTGCATTCTGTAGCAACAGCATTTAAGTCTCTGCTGCGACCCTCGGACCTCTCCAGTCATGACAAGGGACCTGCCGAAAGCCTGGCAAGTAAGTGCTTTCCAGTATGACAGCACCATGAAGATAGGACTGGCAGTCACACTGAAAAACTATCACTTACTTATTTGCTATCACTACTGTCTGTGGAGGATATATAGTTCATCATGTCACAACTAAATTTTATAGAAAATAGACTCCTGTAGCGGTCATGTCTAATTATAGGTATATTTGTTACTCGTTTTCTCCGCGTTGTGCTAAGTCGCTGTCTACTGAAATCACGTTTGAATCAAAATGTGTAAGATCTCATGAGTATTTACTCACCTGCGATGTTGTCGTAGCGGTGATGATGGACTCTCTCACAGACGTGGACAAGGTGCTGTTCCACCTGGAGGCAAAGGAGTTCACTGTGGAGCCAAGCACCCTCCAGTCACTACAGCAGCTCATTCAGTGGGTGGCAGACCTGGCTCTCAACTTGTTGGCAAGACTGCCAGAGCAGCGCCAGCCTGGCAAGAGCTCTGGGGTGAGACACGCTTTCTGCTGTTAAACAGCGTTATGTAAGGCACTGCATGTGAAAAACAAATTAAAGGCTAATTACACTCGTTTAGATGTTCAGGCAGATTTAATTGCATCATTCAGTTCAGAATCTTTCGTCTTAAAACGTACAGATTAAAATAGATATTCAAAACTATAATTTTACCTGTTGTTTTGTACGAGTGTGGAACCTGGTCTGTCACATTAAGGGAAGAATAGATTAAGGGTGTTTGAGAACGGGATGCTTAGGGGAATATTTGGACTCGAGAGGGAGGCTGTGACAGGACAATGGAGAAAATACATAATAAAAATTTCTACTCTTATAAACTTATTAGGTTGTACACAAGTTATTTGTTAGAATAATGTATGTTGATTGGTGTGTGCTCTGCGCAAAATACGTTAAGTGGATACGTATAAGGGAAATTTTTTGTCTGCCTGCCTGTTTCATTGCAGAAACTACTGATTTGTATGAAACTTTAATTGTATTATTTTCAAAATTAGCTCACAATACAAATAATTTATACGTGCAGTTATATACATGTCATTGCCGTAATCTTCTCGTGTCATATTCAGCAGTTTACAGCAATGAGTGAAGTTGGTCATGAAATGACTGTATAAGATGTGACATTATCATGATGTAATAACATGTTATTGTTTCCTAAGTAAATACATTAAGGCCAGTCAACACAGGCCACAGTTAAGGCTGTCCTGTTGTTTGAGAACTCTTTATTATATCTACAGAAGACACTGAAGTTAGGGAACAACTGCAAATTTATAAAATGCATAAATGAAACTGAGACGTGAGCTATTCACATTCTCGATTGCTGGAGAGCTACCGACTTCATCTTAATGTTGAATGGTTTCTCAACTAACATAATGTTGTAGGGTTGTTTCCAATAAAACTGGGGTCACAGCATTAGAATGGGACCTGCCAGGTGACAAGCTGCTGGTGGCTGATACAGCAGGAAATGTGCAGTTGTGGAGTTTCAAGGACCATATTCTAAATGACTGGGTGTGCCTCGGAACAGCCTCCTTTCCTGGTGAACATATCCTTGGTGCCGCATTTTTCCACAATGGAAAAAAGGTGCGTGGCTCTGCCGTCAGCATTTTGAGGCTGTTATGAGTATCTCCACATGAAGCCCCTTCTATTTTGTTTTACACTTTTCCCAGTTTTTGTTATAAACTTCCTATAGAAATGGATGTTTGAACTGGTCACCAAAAACCTAACGGTGAATTGTTTACGCTTATCAAAAAAATGCAGTGGAATGTAGCAGTCTAGAAGGTACCCAGTTAAAATCTAAGATTAATAGATATCCTGGCTGAGATTTAAATGGTTTATTTCAGTACCTCCAAACAAATACTTTGATATTGGCCATGATCATTTCCTTCGGAAATAAATATTTTTCTCGTAAGTCATGATCATTATCCTGTCTCATTTAATGTTCTATAAATTTCATAGCCGAAACATTGTCACTGCGTAACTAAGAAGTTGTTAATTTTGTGTTTGTCACGTGATAAGGAATTTAATTTCTTTCTCTGTGGTATATTTTGTCCTTGTTACTTTCCTCACATTACAGATAAGTCTAGTATCTGAGAAGAAGGATAATGTGTACTATAATGAGAAGTTCACCCACCTACGCTTCCCACCTTCCGTACGCTACTTTGGTGGACGACCAATGGAAGGCTGCCTTGTGATCAGCACCACAGGAATGGTGGGCGTGGTGATAGCATCACGAGAAGGCCATCAGGGATCACCTCAGCTTATTATAACAAGTGACAGTCTTGGATCCACAAGGCACCGGATCACTGCCGTCGACATTTGTTACGGAAAAAGTTAGCACCCGTCACTGACAATAATACACAGTTTTAAAATGATCAATTTTTTAGAAATTATATAAAGTTCTGTATGAGTTTCATATAAAGTATGGGTTATATTTGATAAATCAGAATTAAAGAACTATATTTTTTTTATAATTTCAGTGTAAATGCTTAATATTAAATTTCTTCAAAGTCTGTACATTTATTTCAGACCTGAAATATGCACATGGGCAGATATAACCTCGATATGTTAATTTTATGCACAATTTGCAGAGAAGAGATAAAACTAAAAGTGAGTGAAATGTAGTACTGGCAATCCCCCACATCGCGAATGACGGCCGTACCATCACGACTTTATGTTCTGAAAATAACAATTTCTTTCTATCACAAAACTTACGATGGTACTACCACCTAAATCTCATTTTTTAACTTCATGATGATGAAGACTGAAATTAAAGTAGGGGACATTTTACAAGATGCGTCTTAACTCTTGCACCCTAGAAAATTGTGAATTACGAGTACACTTCGTGTTTTGCAGATGGACACTTCTTGGTGGCAGTAAGCAGTGGTAGTGTGAGTCTGCCGATCCAGTGTTTCCGAGTGTCGGTGAAGCAGGGTGACGAGAAGTGTGTCATCATGTCTCAAGCTTTGCCAAGTTTCTTCCTTCAGTCCAGTCCCATCAAGGAAAACCAGTGTACGTACATGTTCACATTTTAATATAATTTTTGGAAATAACACCTGACAGAGAGAGAAAGATAGACGCGTGTTCGCAGTGTGGCTCCTTTCATCCATTTAAAAAAATTCATCTGCCTATGTTTAATGCAGTTTTCAGTTTGTGGTTCTTGAGCCAATATGAACATTCTAAATAGTCTTCAATTTTTGAAGCATAGTCTTACTCAGTTACACCTCACAGTTTCGTACTTTACGCGCAGTGACGACTGTATTTCATGTGCTCACCGCTGTTTTGTTTTCCCCGTTCACAGATCGCCACGTGTCGCAGCTCAAGTTCGTAGTCCGAGAAGATGCAGATTCATTGGTTGTGGCCGCCAACGGCGACAGCGGCTGCCTCATTGAAATCTGGGAGCTGCGAGAGAAACCTCTGCCTATACATAAACTGTTTCAACCCAAATCTCATTCTTCGCAAACAGAACCATTCAAAACTGTAGTAAGTTACGGCCATGTATCGTGTGGTATTGCCATGTTATCAGCCACGCCCTACAAATTATGCGTTGTCCAGCTAGCTGGCTGGCATCTACTTAGTACCGGAGTACAATGTGCCGTTCCTGTATAATAGAATTTAATTTCTCCAGGTGGTAGTAGTACGTTGAAATGGCCGCAACATCCCAATCCAAATCCTTACCTACTCATCGTTCATTTTTTTACGCACGTTATATGACACCGTAACCTCTATAGTTGGCACAGTGGAATAAACTCAGTCCAATCAAGCGTGGATAATTCCGTGTCATCCCATATCATCATTTGTGCAAGCTTTTCATCTACTTATTTTTGCAGCTGTGGCAGCATCAGTCTCACTTCATGTCCTCGTCTCCAGTCGTATGTATCACGACGTCCAAATTGTCAATTACCACGACGATGCCTCCTCCATGTTATGTGATGGTAGCGCTGGCAGATGGCTCAATTCACTGTTTATACAGGGATTCACTGAAACAGGTCAGCAAGATTAAACAAATTTGTTGAGAATAAATAATCAGTATTTGGCTTCCTAGTCTCACCTTTGTCTCTTTATCTCTTTTCACACTTGTTTGATACATGAAGGTTGCCACAGCATCGCTGAATCAAGCGTGGCGACAGGAAGAAGCTCCTAGCTCGAAGCAGCAAAGGCTTGGCTTGCGGATATCGCACCTCGACATGAGCTGGTTGGGCTGTGTGCTCGTGGCTACAGACACGCAAGGGCAGCTTTACCTATATCGTCTGCTACCAATCTCAGAGCCAGGTATACAGCATGTCTCTCTCTCTTTAGTAACTTCTTCTTATTCTTCTATGGCCTCCTCAATTCTCCTCTTCCGTTCGGTCCTCTGTTAGGTCCGTCTGTCCGAGGCTTTGATCGAGGTTTCGAAACATCTTCCTTTGTACGGTGCAAGGTTGTTAGCCTTGCGACCAAACCCCAACCTGGAGGACCCTGCAGTAACTTAAATTGGAATTTATCATGTCATCTTAATTGGTTCCATACCAACCAAAAATCTTTAAGCACAGACGAATTCTTAAGAAGCAGTTCCGACTCTGTGATAGAATATTACCATACATACCTAAATTTAAGCTAAATTTTCAACAACTTTCAGATTCATGCCAGGGCCTGTAACAGCCGCAATGCCAAACATTCGGAAATACCGTAGTTCTGTACGCTTTTGCAACCGACGTGTCCGTGTATCTGCACGTCTGTTTCTTAACTAAAGTCTACTGACATTTCCAGGAGGCCCCATGACAGTGCCATATGCTTGCACACTCCTGGAATACTGCCTAGTGACAGGATTAGACTGGTGGGACCTGCTCGTGTCGTTACGTCCTTCCATGATGGACACGGTGTGTGAACGTTTCACAGAGAGTTTCAACCGGCAGTTGCAGCAAGTACAGCAGTTTCACTACGTCCAATTCCTCAACATCAAGACTTCACTCTACAGGTGGTCAAAAGTCTCAAAGATTCAGTCATCATGAGGACTGTGTTTCCTGTCTATTTCTTGTTCATGACTATAGATATTTTTCTTATATCCTAATGGGCTTTTATTCCAGGTTGACTGTGAATGGACAGTCTAAGGCAGCAGATCTGACCTCGCTCCTCATGTTGCATTCTGTAGCAACAGCATTTAAGTCTCTGCTGCGACCCTCGGACCTCTCCAGTCATGACAAGGGACCTGCCGAAAGCCTGGCAAGTAAGTGCTTTCCAGTATGACAGCACCATGAAGATAGGACTGGCAGTCACACTGAAAAACTATCACTTACTTATTTGCTATCACTACTGTCTGTGGAGGATATATAGTTCATCATGTCACAACTAAATTTTATAGAAAATAGACTCCTGTAGCGGTCATGTCTAATTATAGGTATATTTGTTACTCGTTTTCTCCGCGTTGTGCTAAGTCGCTGTCTACTGAAATCACGTTTGAATCAAAATGTGTAAGATCTCATGAGTATTTACTCACCTGCGATGTTGTCGTAGCGGTGATGATGGACTCTCTCACAGACGTGGACAAGGTGCTGTTCCACCTGGAGGCAAAGGAGTTCACTGTGGAGCCAAGCACCCTCCAGTCACTACAGCAGCTCATTCAGTGGGTGGCAGACCTGGCTCTCAACTTGTTGGCAAGACTGCCAGAGCAGCGCCAGCCTGGCAAGAGCTCTGGGGTGAGACACGCTTTCTGCTGTTAAACAGCGTTATGTAAGGCACTGCATGTGAAAAACAAATTAAAGGCTAATTACACTCGTTTAGATGTTCAGGCAGATTTAATTGCATCATTCAGTTCAGAATCTTTCGTCTTAAAACGTACAGATTAAAATAGATATTCAAAACTATAATTTTACCTGTTGTTTTGTACGAGTGTGGAACCTGGTCTGTCACATTAAGGGAAGAATAGATTAAGGGTGTTTGAGAACGGGATGCTTAGGGGAATATTTGGACTCGTGAGGGAGGCTGTGACAGGACAATGGAGAAAATACATAATAAAAATTTCTACTCTTATAAACTTATTAGGTTGTACACAAGTTATTTGTTAGAATAATGTATGTTGATTGGTGTGTGCTCTGCGCAAAATACGTTAAGTGGATACGTATAAGGGAAATTTTTTGTCTGCCTGCCTGTTTCATTGCAGAAACTACTGATTTGTATGAAACTTTAATTGTATTATTTTCAAAATTAGCTCACAATACAAATAATTTATACGTGCAGTTATATACATGTCATTGCCGTATACCACTTTTATTCAGAACTCTTTTTTAAAATGGTGAATATTGAATAAAATAATTATTTATCACTATCCAGTATGATTAGATTAGCAACATCACAGTAAACAAACATGAGACCCAATCAGGCATGGAAAATTTATCAATATATTTTTAAAATATATATTCCACTATCAGAAATTCCAAGGGTGTCTAAACCTCACGACGCAGGTGGATCATTCTGTATTCTTACTTGTCTCACAGTACGAGTTGCTGCGTGACTACAAAGCCCTCAATACACTCCGAGAGTTGCTCGTCATCATTCGAATTTGGGGCCTGCTGCGTCAGAGCTGTCTGCCCGTGTTTGTTCGCAGTGCTGAGAATCTGGATGTGTTGGCACTACTGTTCAGACTTATTTCACGCCTCATACAGACCTTGGAAGCTGATGAAAATCTCTTAGGTAAAACTTGTCTTTACGGTTGCCGAGATAACACTTCTTGATATTTGAGGTTTTCGTGGCAGTGAAGATGTCATTCATAGTCCGCTGGATTGTGATGCTGTGTGGTCTTTTAGGTGGTTACCATCTTTTTGGAGGAACATCCTACCTCCATCTTCAGATACGTCACATTGAAGATGTCTCTTTGAAACAACAGTATAAAATCTAAATTCATGCTGCTATGAAACCCTAAAATACTGGTTTACGAAAGGGCATGTTTCGTGTTTCAGCGTACTCTCTCTCTCTCTTTTTTTTTGAGGAAAGATAAGTTTCTGTGTCATCTTTGTGTGTTCGTCTGGCCATGTGTATGGCTGCTCCTGGTAAATTTAGAATAAACTAGCAAAGTGCTTTGGGGCGTTCTCTTCCCATGACACTAACCGCAGTCTAATAAATGGCAAGATTCTGTGTCAGTTTTTGATAAACGAGTACGAATTCTGCAAGCAAGTTCTTTGAAGGACGAGCGTGCATTTTAAGTACCTTCATGATATGTACAGATGGCGTATGACTCCTATGGGTATAAACAGTTTTCATATATTTACTGTTAATAGAAAATTTGCGTGGGGTCCGCAGTGGCCGCGCGGTCTGAGGCGTGGGCCTTCAGCTGCTTGGTCACGGGGACTGTGGGTTCGAATCCCACTCAAGCCATGGATGTCTGTCCGCGTCTTTCTGTGTCGTGTACGTGTGGAGGCCTTGCGACGGGCTGATCCCTCGTCCAAGGAGTCTACCGAATGTCTATAGATCAAACCAACTAAAAAAAAAAGTTGGGGGCCTGTAAAGGGTACCGGAAAATGTACAAACATTGTTAAACCGGAAAAAGAAAGAAGAGAAAATTGCGTTTGGATTCGTCATCGTAATGAAATCAATGGACCTTAGAATTCCACCGACCACAGTTTGGGAATCATTGCTCTAGTGGAGGAATGAGGAAGGTGTTATTTTAATTACGGCCGATATGTGGGACACACACCACTTGTTAATGTGACTTTCATTGTAACAGTCATCAGTATCTCACACGGATGTGGTCACACGGGAAACTGCGGAGATAACGCAGGCCACATCCTGCGGCTCTGCGCGCATCAGTGGACTACTGAGAATCTTATTGTAGCATATACTGTTTAGATTTTACTGATGGCTGTGTCCGACTCGCTTTATAGAGGTGTGTTTTGAAGAAAATTTTAAGAAGTTTCTATTAATTTTGTCATTTTTGTCCAGTTCTTGTTAAACTCTGTGTGGGAGACCTACACTTAATTTTGTCAGAACTTTTTCATTTCAGTCTTTTTCATTTTAAGGATTACTTTCCTTACGCATCTAAATTAATTTTCATAGTTCTCTGAAGGACTTTTATTCTATTTCGGATGTGATTTTCTTCCGTTCTTTTTGTTGACACCATTTCTTCTTCTTCTTCTTCTTCTTCTATGGCTCTCCGGTCCGTATTCGGTCCACGGCCTCCTCAATTCTCCTCTTCCATTCGGTCCTCTGTTAGGTCCATCTGTCCGAGGCTCTGATTGAGGTTTCGAAACATCTTCCTTTTTACGGTGCAAGGTTGTTAGCCTTGCGACCAACCCCCAACCTGGAGGACCAGGGTACCTCTCCCCCTCGACCAATCTGGCTAGGGAGGCCCTACCAGTAGCTCTTGGGGTCACCGAGGTACTCAAGCCCCACCACCACGACAAGGTGCAGGTACCATTAAGTGGGGTGTTGACACCATTTATTTCTGTAAAATTAAAACAATTAGTGATCTGTCTATGGAGGGGTAGGGTTGATTGCTTTCTGCTTCCTGAAGGTAGTCAGATAACATTTAAAATCACAATAATATTTTTTAATTCTTAACCTACAAAAGAATGTCTCACTATATTCTTGGCTATACAAAAAAAAAAAAAAAAAAAAAAAAAAAAAAAAAAAAAAAAAAAAAAAAAAAAAACCTTAACACCAAGTCTCAGGGTTCAAAACTTATCATCAATTCTGCCATTAAAGTCCATCAGTCTCTGTCGTCAAACACCGTGAAGTGGATGGCAGAACTAGTAGATATCATGAAACGTCTGAAAACAGCTGATGTATTTTCTGGATTTCCTGACACTTAAATAAAAGGTGTCAGATTACCACTGTTACCCCTTTACAGCAATGGTATGAATTTAAAACCAGTGAATACTGTGACGTCATGGAGCACAGAAGAATGATTCTGGCAACACATGCTTTGTGTCGTTTTTGTACCCACTTCAGTAATTTGTTTCTGTAAAGTCAGCTATCCGCATATTTTGAGGTGTGTTGGCTTCATTTCCACGAGTGATTTTAGTCGTAAGTCATTCAGATGTTGAGTGTTTAATTGGAGAGGTGTGTCCCGATCAGTGGGTGATGCGTGTGTAAGAAATTGAAACGAGCTCAGTTATGGTGTCCAAGTACGACTTGGAATATCACGAGGAGGCGTCCGAAAAATATGCCTGGACTATTCCAATAGCCTGCGGGATATTCACATTCATCTACTGGTTCATCTTGACTCCAATTCTGTGGAATGCGATCAACACAGAGGATGATTCTGATACATTTGGCATCTTCATGATGATAATGGCAATTTTCTGGTGTGTATTTGTGGGATTCTTCATGTGTATTTGGTGGTGTAAGAGGCGGTCTGACATATCCTGTAAAGAAAAAAAAACCAAAGACCGTGTGTCTATTGTAAAAAAAGACTCTGACGGTAATGTTAGTAACCGCAGTGACTCGCCACCATTCCCAACGAAAACCCAGATGGTTCAGCCGTCAGATACTCCCATCTCATACAAGGCACACTGCAGCCTCAATGGATTGCACACGCTCTCGGAAAAAGACGTGATGATGATGACGTCTCTCAATAGCTGTCCTGTTCAGCCACAGAACACTCCATCACTCTACAATGCCGAGACTGGACGGCAGAGCTTTGAACCAGGTTATACAGAGAGCAGCAATGCATCCATTCCAAACATGGCTAGAAATTCATCACGTGAAGAGAGCGACATTTTGACGGTGAAGAAGTCCAAATCATCGGGCAGTAATGTGTCCAGAAGAATTTCTTCCTCAGACTCGGAGGGAGAGAAAGGTGATGGGTTGAAAGAACGAGACCCACAGAAGAGCAAATCGGCAAATGACGGCAGCGTCATCGTGGAGACAGCAATAATAGAACATAACCCCGAGTGCGTCGACGTGCCAGATGTCTCGGAAGAACCCGTGAGCGAATCTCAAATTCCAAGACTCTGTAGTAGCGATTCATTCTGTGGCCTGCCAGAAATGAATTCGTTTGATGGGTACTTACATCTCACTACATTCGACACACCTATGACACCACCAACTGCGGGAACCAGTCCGACCTCTTCTGGTCTGACACCACGAGAAATCTTCTTCATTGACTTGATCAAACAGGCAGAAGAGAGCGAAAGAGTGCCGGGCATCAGAAGGAGCATGGGAGACGAGGTTATACCAAGAAATAGATCCACTACAGACAACAGGAAGAGCATGCCTGCATACCTGGTTCCCACAAAGAATCCGGAGTCTAATCCCTCATCTCCCGAAGACGTGCTAGATGCGTCCTCGTCAGCAGGCTACTCTTTGGGCATCAAAGATCCAGTGTCTGTCATAGACAGCGAGGATGCCAGTCCGTCATCCCCGACTCAGAAGATCACAGATGACGAGCCGCAGAGCAGATCGAAGAGGTTTAAAAATGATGGTGAACCGGAGTGCAGCGACCCAGCAGGCTCGCCTCCTGAAGAAGACGGCTCAGTCAAATATCCTGCAGGTGCCAAGATTGGTAATGATGGGTCTGGAAGCGAGTACTTCATAGCGAATATTGCCCGCAACAAGAGCGTCACATCCGAGGCGTACCTCAACATCGGGAATGACGACGCCAAAGTTATGGAACCTGGCACCTCTGTGCAGTGGAATGTGGTTATTGATGATTCCCATAGTGATCATGATGATTTGAGTGATGACTGTGTGTTTGAAGATGATTTTGCTTTGAACGGAAAGAACAAATTACACAAGTACTAGTTACAAAGACTGTCTTCAATTTGATATCGGAAATTATGGCGACACATGCGCGTTTATAGTCTTAATGTTACATTAGACCTGGTGTTATGATGGGTTTTCTATCAGCGGGCAAACCGGTGTCGCTTTCTGACAGAGCGTTGAATAAAAATATCCTTTAATTATTTACTGTTTTAATTCAATAAGAAAACATCGAGTAAAGAACCTATATGACACTTACGTTCCTTTAAATATTGATATCCGAGCATCGGCAAAATTAAATGTTACACGACTGGCTCTGATTGGGTCGGGGGAACGGTCTTTCGCCTTAATAAGTACTTTGCGTACTTAACAACAAGAGAATATTATAATTAAAGAAAACTTTCATCCAAACAAATGCACAAAGAATTCCTGAATTCCTTTCATGTCCACCTTATAGAATAAATGCAACCGCTCAGTGTGAGATGACACGAATGAAAAATCTGACTCTGTACGGTTAACCAGACTGGAAATTAAAGGCTGTAAGATATGTACCATTTTTTTTAGTAGTGCGTAATCAGGGGTGTTTCCTGTTCGTAGACGAATGCTGTCTGCTTCCGAGTCAGGTGATGATACCGCAGCTGAACCCACCCACCAAGATCGTTGCAGTGGCCTCTCCTGCGCTCTTTTATCAGTCTCTGCCGATACAGGTGAGCACGACGACAGCGAAATCAGTTCGCAGTTTTAATAATTCGGATGAACCCGGGTTACAAGAGCCCTTCTTGCTATATCTGACAGCTTTATCCATCGCTGCCCACTTTTCTTTCTTAACGTCCAAAAAATTGTGACCAGTGGGGTCAATTCACCCCCGTTCCATATGTACTATTGTATAAAGTGAAGCTTTTGCGACGACTGAAGTTGACGAAAGACTCTCGGGCTACGAGCCGCGTCAGGCGGCTGAAAGGTGAGAAAACCCTATCTCTTGCCAACGTCTCGAGAACAATCTCTGTTCTCATCTACCCAGCGGCCCTGAGGATGAGAACAGAGATTGTTCTCGAGACGCTGTGAAAATATATCTCAATTAACGTTACCGGTTAATTTTATACAAAACCATGTATTGAAAATTACGGTCGTGGATAACGTTGCTAGAAATGAATAGACGAGGCTTTCTGATGTTGTAGCTGGAGTTTGGGGTCGAGCCCGAGTGCCTGCACTTTGTACCAGAGCTCAGTCCAGTGGAGGGTTCTATGCAGACGGAGCAGACGGTCGACAGCATCCGTCACATCTACTTGGGAAAACAACCCCTCGTGGTGAAACAGTGCTGCAGGTAATCGTATCGAGCCTTCGAGAGCGTCGCGAGACAAAAAGATCTTATTTCTGATTTGTCGTTAATTCAGATTAAGAATCTTTGTGTCTTTCCAGGTGTGGGTGTAAGGCTCAGGTGCAGAGCATGACGCGCACAGCCGCGATACGAGCGTGGGACCAACGATGGGCGCGCGCCTGCAGGTGCGGCGGTCACTGGAGGATACACAGGTTTCTTTAGCGGCCCATCAGAATGAATCAGTATCATTCCTGCGATTTATATGACTTCGGAGTTGGATTTTGAATCGCTTAAAGTCTGTGTCGCCAGTTACCATGAAAACCACGTGCTGTATCCATAAAATTTGTAATAAATGTTGTGTACGTACGTGTTTTTGTGTTTGGTAGAGATGATTTATTTGTTGATTTATTTTTAGCTCCCTGTCCTACAAGTCCGTGCACTTTCCAAACCCGTGATCGCATCGCTGATTGACAGGTTTGGAAATTTTTTGCGTGGCGTTAACAATCCTGACTTTGACAAGAATATGACCTTTGACATTCTTCCGTCTTGACACACTCCAGCAACTAATTTAATAAAGTGAACTACCATGCAAATATTTAATTACTTCTATGCATCAGTTTGCTGGAGTACAATACACTTAAGTGTTTTTTGCCCACGATCTTATCACATCGAAGTAAAGGTTTTTTTTTAAAGAAAAATGTGTTTTACGAGAGGCAAGCGACATTTCTACCAACAATTTCTGAATATTTCTGGTGACTCAGAAAAGGGATATTTCCGCTTCCGAACATCCAAAACTCCAAATAAAACCAGGACTAACCTTACCTTAAATAACGTAACCTATCCTACCGAACAACTTAATCTAACCTAACCCAAATTAAAACAACATAACGTAATTTATGCAACACGATACGACACTGTTGGCACGACGCCGACAGATGTTGAAAGTATCTTAACAACTGCTTTTGCGTTGTTAATTTTCTAACAATTTGCATAAATCGCTCATGCAGAAATGTCTACAATGGCACCAAACTGAAACATATCCTAATATAATTTATTTTGTTTATTGATTAACAATGGAAAACATTACTAGTTAGATTAATAAAACCGATAATCTACCTAGGCTCTAGAGTTACGACGACTTACATTGTTTATGTAGCGTGGAAAGTTAAAATTGTGAGGTCTGATGAGATTTTACTGATAGTTAAAATATAAATAGTGGATTTCTGGGTTATGGTGAAGTGTAGTCTAAACGTTTCGGACGAATATCTGGTACCGTGGTTCCTCCGAAACGCAAGGGACCGCTTATTAGACAAATCGGACAATCCAAAGTCCCAATAAGTTACCGTCTCATCATTTGGTGGTGGGACTGAGGAAACCTACGTAAAATCTACGCTAACATACTCCTGAAGACGGCACTTTCATGTGCCTTCCAGTCCGCATGTAGACACAGTTTGTTCCATTAAACCAGCCTCCTCCATTGGCATTCCACAAGACGTCTGAGTGTCAATTGTTCTATCACTATGTACAACAGCACCTGCTTGATATGCAACCCTTCGCGCTGCGGCGTGAAATGAGTTGCCTACACTTCCAGACCGTGGAGTGCGTGACGAGCCATATACCGATCTCGACAAAACTTTGCACACTGGAGAGGCATCCTACCCGAACTTGGGGGGGGGGGCGAGTATTTTGTGTGCATCTCATGCTTTAAACCCTTACACAAATTCCCTTGTTGAAAGAACACGTCCCTTCGGGATGCCTTCATTAAAAGAGATCGAAGAAACATTGTAACAGTCATCTCCGTACAAACTTGGCATTTCGAATACATCAGCGCTGTCGTAATGGTTTTAAGATACTGTTCGTATTTGTAATCTACTTGTATAAAAACTCTGGAATGACTTGTATTTTATTCCGTCATTCTCCTTCTTCCTTTTGTTCTTCCCTTCCGTATCTTTTCCTCCTTTATCCCATGTTCCTTTCATATCTCGTCCTTGTCTTAGTAAATACTAATTACCCCGTTGAATCCCAAAACTCATCCAAAAAACATTTAAGAATTCAGTCCGTACCGCGAAGAAAACACAACGCTTCACCATTACAAAGATCAACTGGTTAACCCTTGAAACACAAGAGAGAGAGAGAGAAAGAGGAAATTGGGGGGGGAGAAGTGAGAGACACTTCGATATCTGGGGGGGAGAAAGAGCATCTTATAGCTAGAAGGTCCCCAGGCAATGCCCGCTCGTCCTTCTGTTAAGGATAAAGTAAGAGTGAAGGCGTTAGTGTGATGATTGGCATAAAAGACGGAATTTTGAAATTTTGTATTAGAGAAAGCTGAGACTATTAATTTGGAAGTTTAATACATAATTCAGAAGTTCCTACTGAGGGGAGGGGGGTAAGCTCGTCTAAATAATATTTAAGAATTCAGTCCGTACCGAAAAGAAAACACAACCCTTCACCATTACAAGGATCAACTGGTTAACGCTGTTTAAGGAAATGATCGCTGTTTACAGCGAGAATCATGCTGACTTATAGCTGCTGGTACATAAAGTTACCACTCGGCTTAAAGACTTTAAACATTCAGTGGCAAATGCCCTGGTCTGCCTAGCAGTGTGCGTCCTGCCAGACCACAATAATTAAAGGAAGGCGAGAGAAATGTTTTGCTCTTAACACAACAGCGGCATATTAATAATGACAGTTGTAATACCGTAGCGTTGTGGTGTGATTGTTGAAAGTATTTAATAATATCGCATTTTCCACATGACAAGACGCCAAGTCCGTGTTTTGGCACACCTGTTAAGTAGTTCAGTCACTGTGAATAACGGGTATTTAACATCTTTCGAATTACGTAACTTTTCCTGTGAGGTCGCTTTGAAAAGGTTCCACCTGGCGTTCAATTAAGGAAACAACTTTTCTCTCCTCTCTTTAGATTATGGAATCAACCGGATGAATATGAACACACAGTGTATCATGTTAAAATAGGCCACGATTGCGTATTATTTGTCCAATTTTAACCATTGTTGTAATGTGTCGACAGATATTTAAAATAAAGATGTGTCAGTTTTCATGAAAATCTATTCAGCGGACCTCGAGTTGTTTACGTGGCGAAGCTAATCGGCGCGTATTTTTTTTTTAACTGCGAAAGCGTCTAAAATGGTAGGTAAGCACCTCCCTGCAAGGACACCAAGTTGATTGCCCGTCGAAGGGTCAGTTTGTTCTGCAAATTGTGCGCGAAGCAATCTGCGTTGGCAAACGCAAGGACCCCAATCACTCCATATCACGGGTAAACCAAAGTTCAAAGAACGTTGCAACACTGCTCGCAACAAGGCGGTGGGAAATTAACTGATGTTGGTAATACTTGTGTCATTTCCATTTGACCTCATAACATATGATTCTTTGGTTCTGAGCTAACATCGATTTGCATTATACATCGGTTCGTGTGTTTCTTTTGTTTTGTTTTTAGTACGAAACACTGACTGTACCAAGGGTTCTGCCACTTTTTGCTCGTGGAATCCCTCACGAAGTCTTACAAAAATCTGATAGCTCACGTAAAAGAAACTTGGAAATAATTAAACACCCAACTGCATTTCTTTAACAATGAGACAGATTAAGTGAACGCCATTAGTCATTTGCGCGACGTTGCCCTGAGTACGTCTGCGCTCTGACAGACATTCAATAAAACAGACACTTCTTGAAATAAAACCTTTTTCAGCCCTCAATAAGATGTGTCTCATTCTCTGCACATTAACAAGTAAATTAAGCCCGGGGTTAATATTTGAGACATAAACAAAACAAAAATTGACAGTGGAACCAAAGTTTCGGAGAATCTGACGTAAATACGTCTATACGGAAAGGAAGTTTATACATTATCTTTAATTACAACAATATTAACAACAATGCCGAGTAAACAGATGACTTTTCCTAGGTAACATAACAATGCACGCAAGCTGACCATTGTTGTCGATCCATATTTACACATTGTTGATATGGATCCTACACGTTTTCCTTTCACATGTTTGCCGAATGACCCTTCCGTATAGACGTATTTACGTCAAAAATTTAGTTCGCTAATTAATTTTCAACGGAAACCACCCTCATCCCACATTATAAAATTTCACTGAAATTCGAAAGAAAGGTTCTGGGGGATGTACGTGGATTTTATGAACGTTGCGTAAAGAATCCATAACAACAATAACAATACGAAGATAGCAAAAATCATAACAAATACAACAATGCATTAACAATAAATACAGCTGTAAAAATGAGTATAAACACGAATACTATTTCAATTAAAGAAGACACTAGTGAAACCAGATCCGCCATCGGATTGTCTCCGAAATGGATAAACAATACTTCACTTGGTACGGAAGCTTTTGCTATCTGGTCAGAATCCCCTGCGGTTATTTCGTTTAAAACATCACAGCTTTGTGATTTTGCACGCAAATTGAACACAAACATTGTGTTACAGATGTTTATTATCAATTACAAAAGTCATTTGTGCCATCACTCAATTTTTACATAAATTTCATGAATCCATCAGTTTTACGTGGTTTCACTGCAGTCAGACATCAACTGTTTTTTGCTGTGGCTGAACCGAGTACATAACATTAATGTGGGTGGAAAAATTCAGTAGCATTTTAAACAAATAAATCGCGTACCTCGTCTTTGCAAGCTTCAATCAACAACTTTTCCCCTCGTTGTTATGCTTTCCGACACTGCATACAACATTTCATGTACACATAAACTGTAATGATACGACATTGTTTACATTTAAACTATTACGATCGCAATTAATAACATTACGAAAATATTAAGCAGTGAATCATTCATACAAATTCTTATTTCATTTGAATGTGAATATTAATTATTACGTTTCACGTTTCTGGAACAAACTTTCTTAAGAGATGATAAAGTTGCGTCATATTGTGATAAATATATATTTGTTTAAATCTTGTCAGTCTAATCAAAATAAAATTCCTATTAAATATTAAAATATTACCATAATTAACATTTAAATATTTAAAATATATTAAATGATATTCTCTATCGAAATGTTCGATTTACATTAGAACATCACTTTTTACACGACATGTTTCAGTTCTAAAAGAACCATCTTCAGGTGCATAAAATTATATAAACTTAAATATAAATCTGATAAACATCTGACTAAAAGTTGCATTTATTCTTAACTCAAATGCAGGGCCCAGCGTTTATTTGCCGATAATATTCTAACAAACGATTTTAAAACATAGAGTTTCCTGGAAATAAAAATTGGTGTGGAGATTTTATAAGGTCGTAAAAGGTCAGTATAGTGACTGTCTACGGACTGGCTTCGATCCCAGACGGGGGCAGAGGATTTTTCCTATAGTCTCTTCGTCCAGACCGGCTCTGGGGCCCACCCAGCCTCCTTTCCAATGGGTACCGGGATCCTTTCCCGGGGATACAGCGCGGCCGAGGCGTGACGATAAGCACTCACCCCCATCTAGTGCCGAGATCAAGAATGATTACGAGTTATGTCTCCTCTCCTTGCTTTCAGACAATATAAAATTTTACATAACAACAGTGGCGAATTCTTCCGTCTGAATAGCGAATTAAAATCTAAGGAATATAAAATAAATGACTGTGTTTTCCGCGATATTACGCCGTGCAGAGAGAAACGTTTCTCCGAAAGTTTGCTACGAGTCGACTCAGCGTCATAACCTAGAAACATCCACTTTCATCGCCGTCGAGAACCTCTGGTACATTTTTCGAAGGCCTGAAGATTCTTGCGGACTGACAGTTAACAGATTAACTTACGTTTCTTTACTTTTCGTTAAGTATCCATTGTCGTGAAACTTTACGAATTAGAATTCCCCGCAACCCGAGGGCAAAGGAACCGTGTAGAGGCGGGGGGGGGGGGGGGGGGGGGTAGCTGGGGGGTCACAACACAGTTTCGAATATCTGCGCCCCCTCAAAAAGAATATCACCCCACTCCACCCCGCAATGCACGCGAGTGGAGGGTGAACCGCTATATAAGTGATCGCGCAAAGGCTGTGACAGTGTGTCTCTGCTACACGGCGCTACCTGTCAGCAGACGTGAGTACTACATATTTTTTATACGTATGTCATTTTGGTTCTAAACGCGTTCTTGTTAGGAATGGTAACACATTCACGACAGTAACGTTCAAAGGCAAATTGGTTTATTTTTCACAAACTAACTTCAAATTCGTCTTGTATCTTACGATGAAATTACAAGTAACAAGAAAAAAAATTTAAAAGGTAGAAAAGATTTGCAGTCAGAAATATCGCAAGAAACCTGAATGAATCGATAAGCTATGAACTCGAAATTTTGTTTCAATAATACGACTGTAAATATTTTACAAAATTCATGTTACAGAAACATTTTTTTCAGAACGCAGAAAATTTTAAATTTACATTTAAAGAACACTAAAATGTTGTTATATTTTAAGACAACATTTGGTTAGAAATAGCCCTGAAATCTGAGCGTTATAATAATATGTATAATTTTTTATTGTCTTCAAGAACCAGATAAATGTACACATCTGAACACAATCTTTCCAAAGTTTTGAAGGTTCCAATTTAAGTTCGGAATAATGCTCAATTTATTGCTGAAATCGGCACTACAAGTGTTCTAAGAAGTTTTCAGAGCCGTAGTGCAGTAATTTAAGCTCAGCCAACAAGTAATAAAACCTTTTTTTAATTCCTTCTTTGAACATGTAAATATGTTTTGCGAAATTCACTTTAAATGTGTAATTTCTTTTCGATTTTGAAAAAATTTAAAACATAATTTCATAAAGTATCGACTTGAAAGTTTTTTGAAAAAAAAATTAGAAAGATGTTTTTTTTTTTAAATTCAGGCGCTTACAAGAAATGTTACTGTCAGAAATGATGAAGTAAATATCGTACCTGGCCGAATCTACTGCTCGCCGAATATAACGCCCGTTAAAATTTCAAAAGCTTAACTTGAAACGATAGCATTCCATACCAGATATACAAAATTTGTGGAACTATTTCTAAGAATGTTTAAAAATTATGGATGTATTACGCTTTTTAATGCGTGCTATGTATTACCATTGCACATATTAATATTTTCGTAAAATTCATTTGATAAAGAATGGTCTTCGATTATAAGAAACAATTTAAATGCAATTCGTTGGTTAAATTCTGAGAGTTACACACAAAGATTTAGACACAATTCGTAAATATTAAAAAAATCCTATAAGCCTGAAATTCTGGGCCTTACGAATTCAGTGCTCATATTCCATTATTTATGTGTATTTGCATTCCTACTGTACATGATGTCTCGCGAAAAGCAAAGAATTTTCGCCCATAGACTCAAAGTTAAATTATGTTCCTCGGTACCGATTAAACCTTATTTAGATGTTTGGCTTCATCACGTGATGGAATTTCGTCGCCAGTTCATTAAGATTTGCTATTTCTAATATCGCCTAATTAATACTTTGTTGTATAAAAATCTTAAATAATATTTCAATCGCTTTTAAGAGCCATTAAACACTTGAACGTGAAGTAAAGTAATGATTTCACTTCAACGCTGGTTGTTAATTAGGCTAACAGTTCGTATACGCAACCATTCTTGATTATAGTTGCAATGTATATTAAGAATCCACTACATGTTTCGGCCTTAATTGGTCATCTTCAGGTGGTTCTCCTCAAGTATTCGAAACGAAAAGATATGACTTTTAACTTGTTTAAAATATTTTCTGTTGTTGACTTCACCACGTGATGGACTGTCTATCAAGGCGTAGCTTACGTCAGCTTCGACATTCCACCGGTACTACATCCACAAAGTCAACTTTACTTATCACGGCCGTGAGAACCTCAAATCCTACCGATGTTCTAATGTTTCAAGGGTGAGGGTTCCTAGCCCCTAAAAATGCTGGGAGCAGCCAGAGATCAATAACTTAAAAGTAACACCTGACTTATATTTTACCTGAAATGCTCGAAATCCATCCGAACTAGTTTTTCCTGGGCAAAGCTAAAAGAATTATTACTGAAACCTAACAAACTGGATGGAAAGAAGACATTCTCGGCTATGAAGGTTCCCAGACAGTGCCCACTCGTCCTTCTGGTAATGATAGGTTGAGAGAAGGCGAGGCTTTTAAAAGAGGACGAAGGATATATTTTGAGCAGGGTCCTACTACATTCGATCAGAATTTTCTAAATAATATTTAGGAATTCAGTCCGTACCGCGAAGAAAACACAACTCTTCACCATTACGAAGATCAACTGGTTAACCCTTTGAAGCCTGAGCTCGTCTAAATAATATTTAATAATTCAGTCCGTACCGCGAAGTAAACACAACGCTTCACCATTACAAAGATCTAGTGGTTAATTCCGTTTAGGGAAACGATCATAGTCTTAAGGTGGTCATTCAATCTACTTTGACGAAAAGCCAAGTTTCCATATCGCCTCACGGTTTTATACCTGAGTAGTTTCATTAGAATGTGCAGCTGCTCAATCTACTTTCCAACAGCCACGCAAATGTCTGACCTATTACCATTTATAAATTTGTTAAGATCGGACATCGTCAATTTTGGTAGGCAATTCTGAATAAATGGCTCACGAGAAAAACTTCTATTGTACAGCATTCTCGTGAATTATGTTACAGCTATAAATCGAATAAGCCAATTAAAACGTGTTTAATCAACACTTATAGATAAATCATTATTCGTAAATGTTTTTTTCTGCGATGTTTTTCCTATATTCAAAATGGTCCAAAACGGGAAGGTGTTGCATCGAAATTGCTTTTCAAATTTTCTTTTGCGATACGCCTTTATGAAGGTAGAATAAGGAGCAGTAGAAACTGAAAATGAATGGGACACATCAGGTTTTTTTGTCTATGCTGATGATAATGTATTTGACGAAAACACATATATCAGTAAGACGTTGTTAAATAAGTAAACGCTGATAAAACAAGAGTCTACTTTCCTGTCTCGGTACCAGATGATGCAAATAATAATATAAAGATAACTAATATCCCACAAATCCCTTTAATTAACATTTTAAAGCCAAATAGATATTATATGTTCCACCTTCTTCAACAATAAATTAAGCTTCGTTTTGTATTTACGAGTTTCGTAAGATTCTCACTGCAAACAGCGATCATTTCCTTAAACAGCGTTAACCATTTGATCTTTGTAATGGTGAAGTGAAGTGTTTTCTTCGCGGTACGGACTGAATTCTTAAATGCTATTTAGACGAGCTTAGGCTTCACGGGGTTAAACAGTTCCTTGCGTTCTAATCGAAATGTATATTTAAGAGCGTTTCGTATACAATAGATCAGTGGTATTCAACCTGGGGTACGCGAAGACATCTTAGGGGGTACGTGAAATTTAAAAAAAATATATTATTTTATGATAAACACTGAATAATCAGTAATGTAATTTATTTAATTTATTTTAGATGTGGATTATATACTACGTATAACTTGAATTATACACCAACAAATTTGGGGGTACAAAGTTGAAGATAAATTATATCTGGGGGGTACGCGAACAAAAAAAGGTCGAATACCACTGCAATAGATCATTAAAAGTGACAGATATTCATCGATCTTAGCAACTTTATTACAGTTCCGTAGTGTGCAGCATTTTTCATTATCCCGCCAATATAAGTGACACGTAACAATTCTGACGGTTGACTGCGTTCTGAAATTTACCGCCAGCAGATTTAGCAGCGCCACGAGAAACCGGACGTCAGGTTACACAAACAACAATCACTGCTGGGACGTGACAAGCTGTTAACGTGTGTGTGTTTCCGTCACACACAAAGCGCATGTTTCTTTTTCTCCGGGGATCACAAAATAACAGGCCCATTCGATGTTCGTTGTTAAATTCAAACTGAGGGGATTAAAGATTGAATATGAATGTTTTCTAGGTTGTTTCTACCACACTCTAGAACCCAGAAGACAGCCTTCTTTATAGTTGCCGCTGAGAACCCGAAATCTCGAGGGTAAAAGATTCACAGGGGGAAAGTTTTGCACATCGTCGCTTAAGAGCTGGAAAGAATCAACGAAATAAGTGAGGCAGTCCAGTCTAGTTCATTAGCTTTCGTAACATCCATTTTAATATTATCTTCTCATTCTTAAAGAATGTTACTTTCCTTTTCGCTTACCTGGTTTAACAGCTGAAGAACTGGCTTCATTTCTGTCTCGTATCAGAGCAGATACCTCATCGAAACCACAGAACGCTTTCAGAAACTGTGTATAAGCCAATCAGAGAACACCTTTCCACTGGCGTCGCATCCAACACACATTAATACAAAGGATTTAATGTGTGGTGAATTTCTAACGAAAAAAAGGGGCGTTCTAGCTTTGTTTGAATGTCCAGGCTTGGATTATAGTAAGGAAAGAGCGAAGGGTGTTTAAAAATAAATCTGTCACGAAAAACTCTGGTATTTCCTGACGGGATTAACAATAAACATGGCAGCTGCAGCCTCCGGTGACTAGCGTCACGCGTTGGTTTGACAATCGACACAAAAACTTGTGACAGACGAAATGCAGAACCACTGCGTATGGAAGGCGGTGATTTCAAATTAAAATGTGCGGATTACAGCGACTGACGTATCTCAGGCTTTGTAATGATAGAAAAAATAATGTCCAAGGAGACTTATCTTGCCATTTTAGTCTTTTATTGCAGAAACTTTGTTCATTGACATTACCACACCTACATATCACGTTTGAAATAACTTTTAAGCACGAATATTTCCGAAACAGTGACATGTAAACGATTTTATTTTGAGGGGATAGGAAATGGTAAGTCAACAGATGATATTTTCAATCCTTTGATAATTATATTTCTGTAGAAAGGGTATTTTGTCTGAAAAAAAAACATTTTCAAGTGTTCAGTTAAATAAAATGCACATGTGACAGTGAAATCGCCTCTCTCTGTCCGTCTATCAGAACGCACTTTTTTATTATTATTTCCAGAACTATTTAGTGGACTAAAAATCTCAATTACAGCTTCGTCAAAATTTCTCAAAAATTGGTTCCGGTACAATTAAATAACATATATAATCCATCCCACATATCACATTTTTTCATCGAACAGGCAAAT